CAGATATTCTTTGGACCAACAGCAGCCGCCCGACAATATTTTATAGATCTCGGCTTTGAGTATCCGCTACAGGCCACCACACCAGATTTCCTCACGTCAATGACCAGCCCACAGGAACGAATCATACGGAAGGGCTGGGAGCACCGGGCTCCTCGAACCCCTGACGAATTTGCTTCCTCATGGAAGGCAAGCGTCCAATACCGCGAATTACAAGCCGAAATTGAGGAATATAAGCAGGCTCATCCCCTGGGTGGTGCTGATGCCGAGGCTTTCCGTGCATCGAAGAGAGCACAGCAGGCCAGGGGTCAGAGGGCAAAGTCACCGTACACTCTGTCCTATATGCAGCAGATCGATCTTACCATGTGGCGTGGATGGAAGCGTCTGATCGGTGATCCAAGCATCACCCTCAGCTCGCTCTTCGGCAACGTAATTATGGGACTCATCGTCTCCAGCGTGTTTTACAACCTTCAACCAACGACAGACAGTTTCTTTCAGCGTGGATCTCTTCTTTTCTTCGCTATGCTTCTCAATGCATTTTCGAGTATCCTCGAGGTGTGTTTACCAAGCCCGGTTCCGGTTAGAGAATAGGACCGTGCTAATGACTTCTAGATCAACACCCTCTACGCTCAACGGCCGATTGTAGAGAAACATGCGAGATATGCCCTCTACCACCCCTCTGCAGAAGCATTTGCTTCTATGGCCTGCGACCTGCCCTACAAAGTCCTCAATGCAATCGTCTTCAACATTGTCTTGTACTTCATGACAAATCTGAACCGAGAACCAGGGGCCTTCTTCTTCTTCCTTCTGATCTCATTCTTCACTGTTCTCACCATGTCAATGATCTTCCGTACCATTGCATCATTGTCTCGATCATTGGCAGGGGCCATGGTACCGGCCTCGATCATCGTCTTATCGTTGGTCATGTTCACAGGATTCGTTATCCCGGACGACTACATGTTGGATTGGTCTCGATGGATTAAATACATCAATCCCTTGGCTTACGCTTTCGATGCTTTGATGGCGAACGAGTTTCATGACCGAAACTTCCGCTGCACCGCCATCGTACCAAATCCCGCGCTTGCAGGTTATGCGAACGTCAGCAGCAGCAACCGCGTGTGCAGCGCTGTTGGGTCCGTGGCAGGTCTCGACATTGTCAACGGTGACGCCTACATTGACTCGGCCTTCGGTTACAAATGGGAAAATCGCTGGCGCAACTTTGGTATCCTCGTCGCCTTCATGGTCCTTTTCCTGATAACATACCTGGTATCTGCCGAGCTCGTGGCAGAGAAAAAGTCCAAGGGCGAAGTGCTTGTTTTCCGCCGTGGCTACAAGCCTGCTGCCCTCGAAGAAAAGCACGGCGATGATCCCGAAGATATTCGCGTCGGTCCTGTCACTACTCGTGATCGTCAACGCGGTGGCAAGTACAGCGGTAATGGCCTTATAAAGGAGCAGAAATCGGTCTTTCATTGGAGCAACGTCTCCTATGATGTCCTAGTCAAGGGAGAGACCAAACGGATTCTGGATCATGTCGATGGTTGGGTCAAACCCGGTACCTTGACTGCCTTGATGGGCGTGTCGGGAGCTGGCAAAACAACCCTTTTGGACGTTTTGGCTGACAGAAAATCTGTTGGCGTTATAACCGGAGAGATGCTTGTGGACGGCTATAGTCGCGATGCGTCCTTCCAACGTAAGACCGGTTATGTCCAGCAGCAGGATCTACACTTGCAGACGAGCACGGTACGGGAGGCTCTCAGTTTCAGTGCTCTCCTGCGCCAACCTGAACATATCCCTAGGCAAGAGAAGCTTGATTATGTGGAGGAAGTCATCAAGCTGCTTGATCTGGAGGAGTGCGCAGAAGCTATCATTGGTGCCCCTGGAGAAGGCCTCAATGTAGAGCAGCGCAAGCGCTTGACCATCGGTATTGAGCTCGTCGCAAAGCCGCCTCTATTGCTTTTTGTGGATGAGCCAACCTCGGGACTTGATTCTCAGACGTCATGGGCTATTCTTGATCTTCTTGAAAAGTTAACCAAGAGTGGTCAAGCTATCCTGTGCACGATCCATCAGCCTTCAGCCATGCTATTCCAACGATTTGATCGGTTGCTCTTCCTTGCTAAAGGTGGCAAGACTGTCTACTTTGGCAATGTGGACAAAATGACGCCTTACTTTGAACGAAACAGCGGCGTCCGTTTCCCGAAGGAGGAAAACCCAGCAGAATGGATGCTGCAAGTGATTGGTGCCGCCCCAGGTTCCCACACTGATATTGACTGGTATGAGACATGGAAAAACAGCCCCGAATATCAGTCTGTTCAGACCGAGCTCAGACGCCTCACTGTTGAGCGAGGCCCTCCACCTGAAACGTCCGAGGACCCAGCCAGCTATCGTGAATTCGCCGCCAATTATGCCACGCAGCTGAGGGAGGTTACATATCGCGTCTTCCAGCAGTACTGGCGGACCCCCACTTACATCTACTCCAAAGCAGCTCTGACCATCACCGTCGCTCTCTTCATCGGCTTTGCTTTCTTCAGGGCGCCTAACTCGATGCAAGGTCTTCAAAACCAGATGTTCTCTATTTTCCTCATCTTGATTACGTTTGGTCAACTTGCGCAACAGACGATGCCTCAATTCGTGACGCAGCGCTCCCTCTATGAAGCACGAGAGCGTCCTTCAAAGGTATACAGCTGGAAAATATTCATGCTTAGCCAAATCATCGTGGAACTGCCCTGGAACGGCCTCATGTCGGTCTTCATGTATCTCTGCTGGTACTATCCTGTTGGTCTTTACAGAAACGCCCTGCCAATGGACCAGGTCAATGAGCGAGGCGCTCTGGCATTCCTTTTCATCCTTGTTTTCCTCCTTCTCAGCTCAACCTTTACTGACCTTGTTATTGCCGGATTTGAGGCTGCCGAGGTAGCGATGAATATCCTCAACCTTTGGTTCACGCTTTGCTTGATATTCTGCGGTATCCTTGCCAGCCCGGATGACTTTCCCCGCTTCTGGATCTTCTTGTATCGCTTGTCGCCATTCACTTATCTTGTCTCCGGATTGCTTTCCACCTCGGTCGCAAACACGAATGTTGTCTGCGCTGCCAACGAATTCCTGAGCTTCGACCCACCGAATGGCCAAAACTGTGGGAATTACATGGCCACGCATATTCAAGCCGCTGGTGGTTACCTTCAAGATGTAAACGCTACGGCAAACTGCCGGTATTGCCCGATGGGTGATACCAATGTTTATCTTGCGAGCGTCAAGTCACCTTACTCAGAAAGATGGCGTAACCTTGGTATTCTATTTGCCTATATCTTATTTAACGCGGTTGGAGCCTTGGCTATTTACTGGCTTGCACGGGTGCCTAAGAAGGGTAGACTATTTGGTAAGAAGAAGGAAGATTAGGTTAGATTGTTTTTTCAGCGTTTGAGTATGGGGCTTAAGGATTTATCCAAAGATGTAAGAATATGGAGTCACTTAGAGTTGAATATGATATCCTTTATTAATAGAATAAATTAATTTTAGCTCAGTTTATCGTCAAACCATAACGCACTTTCCGTTCAAGTCTCCGCTTGGGCATCTTAACGAACCAAGTAAAAGGAGTATAGCATTAACGTGGTTAATAAGCATGCGTCGTACTTTTCCCTCCTACATCTCACTTTTTACCTAATCAGATACTTCTCAAGAACCAATCATGCCACAACCTTCAGATAAAGCTAGAACACTCCTTGCCCTTCAAGCCCTTCAAAATAACCTAAAATTAAGTACCCTACGCGCTGCAAAGATCTATAAGATCACTAAGCATACATAGGCTACGTCGCCATTAACATGGCATTAAATCACAACGCGGTTGGATTCCAAAATTATAGAAACTTTTTAATTTAAAGCAGACTTATATATTATTATTAAACATTATATATATTCGGTTTATTCATATAAATTAGTATAATATATATAATAAGTACATAAAATAAATAAGTATATAAGATAAAAATCTTAACCTTCTCAAGATAAATTATAATAAAATATAATAAATTATTTAATTAATTAAAATTACTTATTATACTGTTCTTTAAATACCTCTAGAACTACCTAATAAGTTCTTATATTATATCTAATCTTATTATATATATTATAATATTGAATACCTAGTTTAATGAACCTTCCTTAATTATTATTTCTTAATAATTTAACTAATACTTATATACTTATATCTATTTAATTAATTAAATTCTAACCTTTTTATATAAGTAAGCTCCTTTTATTTTATAAGTATATCTTTTTTATTTTATATTATTAGCTAAGTATATTATTTACCTTATAAAGCTCTTAATTCTTAGCTTTTAATAGGATAATTTTTTATATATTTAACTTAATTATAGTTTTTTAAAAAGTAATATAAAAGGCTAGGAAAAACTTAATCTTAGAAATATAAGTTATAAATTATCTTATTAATTGCTTTATTTCTTACCTATATGCCTTTTTTTAATAGCCTAAAGTATTTAATATTAAGTAGCTATAATAAATATAAACAATAAAAAGATATAATACTTAGTAATTATTAAAAGAGGTATAAAAAGAGGTAATTAGTTTAATTATAAAACAAGGTAAAAGGTATATTTAAAGTAGAGTAATAGAAGTTACTAGGACTTATATTTACCTAGGGTCATAACTATAGTATATATAGCAGAGGGTTATATAAGAGAGGGTTAAAAGAGCCTTAATTCTATGCTAGAAGGGGGTTGGCAGTGCTCCTTACATACTAATGGAGCGTTGATCTATAGGTGGCCAAGCAAGCCAATCGGGCCAAACCCACCTTTTGACAGTTGAGGCTAAAATCATCTTCATTATGCAGATAGGTGCAGAATATAGGTCTTACTATTGGACTTCTATTGTGACTAGCTTGGTAAAAGGCTCTATACCAGGCGGGCAATAAAACATAGCAAAGACATAGCGCAGCAGTAATAGTAGAGCAGTAAGGCTCATGCATAAGATGGGGCTCACGGCGGCAAGTGTTAATATGAGCGTGGCCGCGGAAGAAGGTCAGGATTGCCGAAATAGCCACCAACATCAGGGCCATTAAAAGGAAAGCCAGATATGCCCAAAGAAGGATCATAGGAAGCGACACAGTAAGATGACCCCAAGAAGCATGATTGCCACCAGGCAATGTCGCGCCGTAACGCTGCGAGCCTGCAAGAAAGGAGCGGGTAAGCACAAAGGCCTGCGGAGCTCACCTTCTTTTCGGGTCATCATGGCGTGATAGGTCGCATTATGAAACATCATACCGTTGAGATTGAGTAGGTCGCGATGTTCCCAACCACCAAAACGCAGGTTATCCTTTGGCATGATGATCTCTGGGCCGTTGAAGACAGACGGTTCATTCATATCCTTCCAGACAACGGTGTTCTCCATAGTGCCCTTGAAGAAAGTATAGTCGAAAAGACCGTTCCACCAGTCGATACAGGCGGGGTTGAAACAGTCAATCCAGTGCGATGCGCCTGGCCAGCAGTGGCCCTCGAAGATATCATCCTCTTTAGTACGGCTCCTAATGTCATTAGACTTGAGCACAATGTTGTAGCCATTCGTGTTCTTGAAGTGGGGATCGATAATGATGATAAGCTTACGGCCAAACGCATCGAGCAGTTTGCGCATACTAATTGGGTCTTGAAACATATTCGGTTCTCACGTGAAGCACTCCTTGTCAATCGGGCACTCGATATCCAACCAAATAGCATCACAAGGAATTTTGAGCCTATCCATACCGTCGCCTAGATCCTTGACGTCATCATCAGAGACGTAGTTTCATTGGCACTGGTGGTAGGCAATTGAGAACTCCTAGGGCAGCGCCGTGGTGCCTATCAGGGCAACGTAGTCTTTGAGCACATCCTTAGGGGCTGGTCACAGGAAGATAAAGACGTCTAGGGTGCCGGCCTCTAAGATCCATTACGTGTTGGTATTCGTGTCTGTCTTAGTTTTAGCCTTTGTTATGTCAATCAAAGTCTCGGCCGCATTCAGCCAGAAGAGGCCGACGTAGGAGTCCTTGCGGTTAGCCTGCATGAAAGGAACGTCACCGTACAGAGTCATAGGACTTCCCAACTCATACTCGGAGATATGCGTGTTATATAGTCGGTAAGGCTCTGAGTATTGGGTGTTAATACCTCGTGTCTCCTTCAGTGCCAACAGCCATTCCAAGATCCATTCCAAATTTGCATGGTGATATCCAGAAATTTCATTAGGCGTTTATCTTGAAATCTGATACATTGTTAAGCAACCTTAGAGTCTTTTTGTTGTGTGGATCTGTCTGTCACTCGCTACTCGAAAAGCTTAATGGACCCAAACCCCCCTTTTCTAGCTATCAGAGCGGCCACTGCAATAGCAGAACTCTAGTACTTGAGCAAAGCAGCAATTTAATCTAAGACTAAAGTACTATTATATCGTCCCCCATGAAATTATGTCCTCGCGTACCTGCTTGACAAGCTTGACATTATAGGCATCTGCCTCCTCATTGAAACCCTCTTGTAGATCTCTGACATGCTCCGGCACGTCCTGAAGCTGATTATACGCGCTGGGAATGGGCTGCCCCATACGCTCTACCAGCGGAACATACCCCGACCACACATTCTTCATGACCCCTGGATCCTGGACATCCTCCTTGTCGTCCGCCGGCGGCCCTGCGCGGACCTTTGCACTGCCACTGGTCACTCGAACGCGCAGGATCTGCGTCTGCATAAGCTCGAATTTGTTCGGAGGTTGGCGGACCTGGTCCCATCTGCCGGGGATGATCTTGTTTGTGAGCAGCTCCAGCGCCCACAGCTTTTCTGACTCGTCTGTGACCAGAGCTGCGTGCCCAAACAAGACTGCCGAGCGGTAGTTGCACGAGTGGGTGAATGCGCTCAAGGCCAGGACGAGACCGTCCACTTTTGCGACAGATACGCATACGGGCAAACCTGGAAGTCCATCGTCCATTGCCTTCCTCGACAGGTTGGCCATGCGGGCTGAGATATACCCATGGATATAGCAGTCCTGGGGCTCGTTCAAGCCGGCGCTGGGATAGGCAAAGTTTCCCATGGCGCCGAGCATGGGGATGGTGGTTGGAAATGGATCTTCAGCGTCAGGCTGGAAAGAGACGTGGAAGACGAATGAACGATTCATGATGCTGTGAACTGTTTCGAGATCATATGAAGCGCGCTTTTCGGCTAACCGATGAACTTTGTTGTGCTGGCCAGCTGGGTATCTCAGCTGATTCTTCATTGTTGTGGCTGCCGGGGGCGATATTGCGGTGAAACAAGAGTAAAGAGTAGTTTAGCTCCTTAATGCAACGATGAGAAATCCATTTCCTGTCACTAGTTCCAAAGTCTCTATTTTTATATTATTCTGAATATAGGCATGGAAGGAAGTGTCATCGGCTCTTCGGAGTAAAACTAATCATTGTGGAGCATAGTTGGACGCTATCGGGGATGATGGCCGAAAGCGGAGTGGCGCTAGGGGTATCTAATCCGAAAGTCTCCAAGATGAGGGGGTCAGCGCGTCGGAGACATCGGACTCCAGCACGTTACTCTTTCCAGCCCGTTATCGCAGCAAAGAGTCTGGGCAGAGCGTCATGCAGCCAGATCAAAGCGCAACAGGAGGTTCTATACAGCCGAGTACGCCAAGACCCCGACGGAAGAAAGCAACGGCGTGCCAACGATGCAGAGCTAGAAAACAGCGGTGCGAGGGCCGGGATCAGGGTGCGTGTCGAAACTGCAGGTCTGCGCACGCTGGTGAGTTTTATTTGTTATTCCCGTTCATACCACAGTGTAGCTAGTAAACCATGTCTAATACCCCAAAGAGTGTTTACCGGCCAGCCATGAGTCTACGGGCATGTACCCGGTCTCGTACGTACAAGGCCTTGAGCAACGGGTAGCGGGTCTTCAGGGACGCCTCGACCAACAAACTGCCAAGTCAATGACCCAAGAAAATCCTGAGTCTGGTAGCAATCTGGCCCCAAATTTGCAGGCAAACATTCATCCAGATTTACAGAGCTTTACTGGTCATCTTGACGCCTTTTATATGCCGTCTGTGCCCAGTCAAGGGAATTCATTCGACCTCTTAACATACCAAGCCGACAACCTGTTCTCCATCTCCCAACAACCGCCTGCAGACGAAGCCAACTACTCAACAGACGCTATGCGCTCTCTTGATCCCTCTATGGCCGCTGTCGTGACCAATATTTCAGTCCGTGAGGGCGCCTCATTCTTTCAGACTTATTTTGAGATCATCCACCCCCGTTACCCATTCCTTGACGTCGAGGAATGCAGCACAGCGTATATAAAATGGAAAGCAGGCGAGATAGCTACCTGTGGCAACAATGCCTGGTCCACATGTCTGTTGAAGCTGGTGCGTACTCTATCTACTTCCCCATCTCAAACTCACCAACATAAACAGATATTTGCCAACGGTGCAATCTTACAGCACGCGTGGTCAGACAACAGGACTCGCCAACAGCTGGGGCTCATCCTCCAAGAACAGAACATCATATCTGATTCTTTTTTAAAACCACTTGCTCGCCTCCAAGCCATGCTTCTCCACGCCTTCCATGAGCTTCACGGCGAGAGCACAGAACGAGTTGTGCATATCGTTGGTGTTGCTATGCGCTTTGCAATCTTCAATGGCTTTCACCGTCTCACAAACGATGGGTCTTACGAGATAGAGATGAAGATTAAAGCTTGGTGGTGCATCTACTGGTACGCTTAGAGCTAGTATGTCAAAAACGTGCAGATCGTTGACATTGGTTAGCTTAGACAAGGTTGTTGCAATAACGCTGCGCATTCCTCCCTACCCTCTGGATGAGTGGATTGACACGCCTGCATATCGGGTCAAACACGGGCCGCAGTTCTTTATGCCTTGGGCCGTTGATGCTCCAGGTTCTTCAGACGGGGTCCTGTATACTTTTGATCTACGCTACTTTGCACACATGTGCAAGATCAGGCGGCTTCACTCGGAGATACTCACCCTTTCTCGACAAGTCGATCCTGGCTCAATAGATCAATCTCTTCGGAAGTTACTGTCCGAGATTGACGGGTGGGCCAAAAGCAAAGATGTGTTTGCCAGTAGGTTGGTTCAGCTCCCTCCGTTTCAAGTGGCTCTCTGGGCTTAAATCAGGAATAGCCATCCGAACGCCGAAGGCCATGCGAGCCCTCTTGGTGTTGTCTACGTCGCACACATGACTCGAGTTGTGCTGTACAGCTCGGTCCCTCTTGAACCAGGGTCAGAAAATACGGATAAACTTCTTCAAGCCTGTTGTGACTCGTGCGCAACGTTCAGGGCTCTTCAGAAGAGAAAGCATCTACCAAAACATTGGTTTGATGTAAGTGCTAGTATAGTGCTTTTATAAACCTGCATGCTGATTTCCAAGATGCTCTTTGTATTTCAGGTAGGCGTGGTTATGGTATATATCCTCTGGCGGCGATCTATGCCAGTATCTAAGGTTATCGATCGTGCCATTCGGGATTGTACCGCGGTACTGTCTATATTTGCCGATCGATCACAGAAGGTGGATATCTACCGAGACTGCATGGAACTACTGGCAAGCAGCATATCAAGAATTTCTACCCCCGGGACTATCGACACAGAAACCAGACAAGAACTCAATTTCTTGCTTGGTCAGATTGAGGAAAACAGCCTTGCATCGCATGTTCATGCCAAGTTGTCCGAAATGTGTAAGACCAGTATTGCAGAGATGGATACATGACCTTCACAACTCCAGAGAATGAATAAGGTTTCAATATGGATCGATTCATCTGGGGCGAATCGCTAATATGATGCTGCAGTATGGCAATCCGCTCTCGAGCCTTCACCTTGTCGCAGGTAATGGTAAGCAGAAAGGAGATATTCGGACTTTTAACACAAAGCGCGAAGCAGTCGACCGCTGTTCGTATTAGAAGACTTGTTGACGGAACCAAGTTTGCAGACGAGACTGTCCTTCATATTACAATGAGCGCCGAGATGAGCGCATCATGGCTGTATGGCCAGACAGCACACTTTGCTGCATGGAGCCTGTCATCACTTCCCGTAACGATGAATACTGGGTTAGTACAATGGGTGCCGCTACCCATCTTGGTAAGGGCTTCTTAGCAGCTGTAAGGAAGCCTCAAGTCTAATTGTTTATTTGGTGCCACTTTGAGCTATATCCATTAAGGTAAAAAGAGATCTGAAGTGGAACATATTCCCAAGCTCGATTGGTGCTGGGTGTGCACTATCGACGAAGAGAGACTAGTGTTTGGGGTCCAGACCTGTTCCTGCATGGGCACAGCTCGCCCAGGCTGTCAATAGTTAGCAATAGTGATATCCCACTATCCCCAAAGCTGCTGCAAGGGACGGCTATTGACCGCCAAGCGCTAAATAGTTTATACAGCTGAGTCGGGTGAGTAAAGAAATAACCCCAGGGGCCATGTATAGATACTGTAGTGAAGCCGCCAGTTTGTGTCTTTTCCAGAGGTGCGGGTTTATTCAGTCTTTTCTTGACACCTGCGCTGCAATTGTGCTTACGGGCTTCTTTCAGCATGCAGTCCAAAATTGCGCTCGTGAGCTTGGCTTTGGTTGGCTTTTGTTCTGCTGGTCCCTGCAAGCCCAGTAGCCGAACCACTGTGAGTAGCCATTCTATCACCTCGTCCATCGCGACGATCGATGTTTCCGCGAGCTCCACGGACAGCCAAACAAACTTCGACAGTCTCACCATTACATCATCTGCTGAGACCACCGACGTCCCTAGCATAACTCTCCCCCAATCATCAACAACGACGGAAGAGGAAGTCATCATCATCACCAACGCTATACTAGGAGGTTCTTTCGCCAGTCGTGACCCAAACAGCCCAAGCGGCCTCACAAACTTCGCTGCCTCTGGAAATGCTGAGTTTCACCAAGGGGGGTGTTACCGCGCTGACGGTAGTCTCGACGATGGTTGTGCTGCTCTGAGTGCCAGTGGAGACGTTACGAAGCGAAGTTTCTTTGGCTCTTTTGCTAGTATCTTCCAGACTGTGCGATCAGTTCCGCGAAAGAAGTACACCATCCAATTCTTTTATCTGATCAACTCCGCTGGAAGCCAGGGCTGTGTTGCAAGTGCGAAATTTGGCAATGCGGAGTTCTATTCTCAACCTGCCTCTAACCTAAGAGCCTCATGGATTAGGGTGCTTGGGCAAGTTGAGGCTGCATCTGACCTGCCTACGTTTGCTATCTCGCTGACATGTTCTGGTGCTGGTGCCTCTTCCATTCTGGTTGACTCAATCTTCATCTCCAACCAAGTGACTCCGGAGACTATCGATGACTTCAAGCTTGACCTGGGTGGAAGCCCTCCTCCTGTCGAGACTACAACCGCAATTAGGGCTGAAGAGTCCCCTTCCCTTACAACAGAGCCAGTAACACCAACGCCCACTAGCGGTTTGTCAAACACGAGCACTTCAATGCCCGTTTTAACAGACTCTCAAGAAGACACTTCTTCGGCGGTCACTAACACCAAGCGCACCAGCTCTGACCCCAAGACATCCAGTGTTGCTCATGAGAGCATCGAGACTATGGCAACTTCTGCCGTTGGACACACTTCAGAAGCCATGATTGATACTACGGCTATCACACCATCCTCGAAAACGCTAGCCCTCGAGGAGACCAGCAAGGCCGAAACAACTGGCCCAGTATCACAAGCCGTTGGCTCTACTTCTCAGCCTGTCACTACAGCAGGACCTTCACAACCCACCGGCACTACCTGCAAGCCAAACTGTGAGATGATCAACGACTTTTACGCACATCTTGATGACTTCGGTTGCGATCTCAACGGCGTCTTCGTGAAAAGCGATGCCATTTACACGCTTCCTGGTGAAGAGGTTGGCACGACTCAAACGCACTGGTACAACAGCAACGATGAGTGCGCTGAGATCTGCAAGACTCTACCTGGATGCCTGTCAGCTGGGTTCCAGAGACTTTCGGGCAGGTGTTTCTTCTCCAACACTCTAGTTACTCGAGAGGACATACGTGATGGAAGAGACAGTCAAATGATCCATTGGTTTGGCATGGAGTGCTTCACATGCGGCTGCAGTTCTGGCGGCACATCGACAACTGCCTTTCCTACGACTACCCTATTTCCCGAAATAACCAGCGTCACCGCAACCACTAAAGCTACTCAGCCAACAGGTGTTTGCCACAACAACCGCGGCCAAGAGTGTGAGATCAACCCATCAAACGTCGAGAACAACGACTATGTCTGCATTGGTGGAGGCGTCTTTACAGGGGAGACCTGGACAGTCCCTCGATCAATGTATCCCATGCAGGAGAACGGAGAGCAGTGTGCAGCCATCTGCGACACTCTGGAGAACTGTGAATCCTCTGGCTTCTTCGGCATGGAGAACCACTGTCTCTTTACAGCCACCAAGATAAAGACATCCGACTTTGCTGACCCCGATCCAAACTACGACGATCCCGGTCTGGACCCTAAAAACAGTGTTTGGAGCCATAGATCCTGCTGGACATGTCCGACCTGCGTCCTGAGCAACGCGCCTCTTCCCAAGAGTCCAACATGTAACTACAAGCCTGGTGACGCTTGTACACGTGTAAGTGCGGATGGCGTCATCTGCAATTACTCGGGAATGTTGCCTGGGACATTTGGGATTGATGGAAGTTATCCTGACCAGAGTTCCTCTGGCAAATGCGCTGCTATCTGCAGGAAGATGACCGGGTGCTTGGGTTCTGGCTACAGGAATGGGCAATGTATGTTTACAAGAACGAAGCTTACGGCAGGCGATTTCCTAGATAGGCACACGTATGATCTTGTCTGGGATGATCCGTCTTGCTTTGAGTGTCCTGGTTGCTCAACGTAGAGATAGTTTCATTATATTATCATCGTAGGAGAAAATCCAACCATTTAATCCTCTTGCCATCACAATAAGCCTTTCATTTTCAATTGCAATATGCGTTACATGGCCAATCTATACCACATATTAGTTACCAGCATTAATCAAGTAAAAGATATTCATTGCGTTAATCATGACGGACTACTGAATCCTAGTATCTTACTTACTGCTCTTAGTCTCCAAGTTAGAAATGGCTCTATCCCCGATTTTCAAGTTGCAGCGACTCGGCTTCAAGAAAGAGTTGGGTAATTCACCGCATTAGAGATTAACAAGCTCGTGAACGAGAATCACAAGTGTCTGGGAGGAAGGGGGATAAGAACACTTTTAAATTCTGAAAGACCTTCATAAACTCAGTGGCAACTTACCCAAGTTTAGTAAAGATTAGTAGACCTTGAAACTAGGCTTTTTGGTCTTCGCGAAGTCGGTCAAGCTGCCTAAGCTTCTATTTTCGCCAGATGAGCTTCTTTGCCAGGCCTGCACTCGTCGCACGTAGGGTCTGCTGCGCGCCGTTAACTTCAGCGGGCGAGGAATAGCTGACTGACAAGCTGATGGTATTCATGATGTTAGTGAGTTTGCATGAGGTACATTTGTCTCAGTTCAATTGGTTGAATCGATTCGACTCGCTCATTCACTTCGCAATCTTTAGCCACTCGAGGGCCATCAGCAGGTTATCTCCTTGATGCTAATTACTGTCTTGCTTGCACGGGACTCATAAAGCCCCATGACATTGCTGACTCCTTGTCTGTCGGCATTGTGCACATGAGTGGGGACGTAATAATGCCCGCCTCTAGGCCGCTCCTCTGGCTTAGGGACTGAAGCTTGCAAGACATGAGAGTTGCACGTATCACGTTGACAGCGTCGTGAGTTGTGAATCATGTCAATTAAACCGCCGGGCTGGCATATTGGCACCTCTATGTCCACCTGTTCCCATAGTGGTCGGACCTGGAATGAAATACAAGTGTTGGATCCTTGTTGGATCTTGACTGAAGTATGGAGTCTACGAATAATTCACTTATCCTACACAGTATCTGCAATGGAATTAGGCTGCATGATAGAAAATCAACAAGTCATTCACTGACAGACATTCGTTTTAGATGGAACACAACAGAAAATAGTAGCTTCGCTGCTCAAATCAAACCATCCACGCTGCTTCCTATTAACTATAAACGCCGGGTATAGTACTAAATGCAGACAACGCTGAGTCATCTCATTTCTCCACAGCGGGGATCTTCAGAACATCCCTCCGAAAAGCAGGCCAATATTTCTCCTTGATCCACAAACTCAGGCATTGCAATGCCATGAGTAACTTGTACAAGTCAAACGCATTATATGTGCTCCCAAGCGGCAAACGATGATACGTGGTCGACTTTCCATCCTGTAGCGTCGATGCCACAAAAAGCCAGTCATGATCCTGTACAATAATCCCAGCCAGAAATTCAATCTCCTCGATGTTCCTTAGGAGGCAACGCCATTGCGCAGCATGCCAAGTACCGATCTAAAGTAGAGCATTCTCCCAACCGACCTGAGGCTTTGTCTCAATCGACAGGGGAATAGGGTTCTTGCAGAGGTCGCCCCAGCCTGTATGATTAATCGCTTCGTTAATATTTTACCATTCAAGACTTTTCTTTGACGTCTCGATGCAGATGCAAAAGTAGATGCATTTGGATGATGTACCGAAGGGTTTGTACTTGGGTAGGATGTGCGCAGTGGTTCAGTATGTGTAATTACCAATGCAAACATCGTTGGCTTCTCTAAAGGCAAAGTCGAGAACACATCGATGAACTTCAGTATCCCAGGACGCTTCGCTGCGACGGCCGAATTCGCATTTGGCAGCGCTCTACAAAACCTGGCGGATAAACGAGGGGGGAGGAATTCGCCAATTGCTTGTATGCTCAGCAGGACTGTAAAACGCAAATCCGTATCCAAAGGTGACAAGCTGCTGATGCAGATCTTGGAGTGAAGGCGGCAATCACAAAGCCGGTCCTTTGCGTCGCGGTATAGCGGAGTTGTTTGGTGAGGCTGAAGACTAATGGTCCAGATTCGGGGCTCCCTCTCTCAGGCCTCTTGAAGATGCTCTAGGGGTATCCTCAACAGCACCATCTTCTCCGTCTGAGCCAACAGGACCTTGATCGTGAGTCAACCTTGTGCATTTCCTTGAAATCGAACGGAGATAGAGTGCATGTGCCTCGGTGATAGAGCGGCTGTTGTGAGATGATACTGGAGGCGTCGGGATCCAGTGAAATTGATTACCGCGGTCTGATTTGATATGTTATTTTACGTCGCTTGCATTGATGTAGACACTCTTCGGATGGAAGTTATTCTTGTTGAATTGAACTGAGCCGTACAAAGTCATATTTGTGGGCGTGCGGGACGCTGAGGCTAGTCATTTCTCAATTGCGCATGTTGATTGAAGTTATTGATGGATGATGATTGATACAGTTAAGACACTCCGGAGTGCGGAGCATGCCTAACCCATTTCGTGATAAATGTGGAGTTGTGCTGTTGGAGGGGGAGCGTCTCGGCATTGCAAAAGTGGTTTAGCGTCTCAGCTAACGATATCTGAGATACTTTAACTACTGCGAGCATCACTGCATGGACCAAGTACTTTTGATAAAACCCTCAGACTGTTATCGCCTACCCTACTGATCCAGAATATTGCGTGGGTCTAAATTATATATTATCTCAACGATAGAATGCGGTGATTTCATTTCATGCTGTCTGTAGCGAGTTTGACAAAGGGTATGAAGATATATCAGTCGGTAATTGAATTCATCTTGGCGGATGGAAATCAGAGCACCAAATCGTTACACGCCAAATATGGAGATTTTGAGGTCAAGCTTAGCTTGTCAATTATTTGAATAGAACACATTGACTTGACGAGACTGACCGAGCCCTTAAGAAGATCCAACTACGGCGCATCGTTAGAATAATCTTCATAACAGTCCATGCAACGAGAACTCAAACTTGAAAGGTTGTTATCGGGGTTTTCCCAACCCTATAGTCTCCACACCTTCCAGTGGACCCCGTCGGTATACTTCTCAAAGTAACGGTGCACAGCGGCCGCGGGTTCCGCCAGCCATGAAGCTTTCCTCTGGATACTGAGAAGATTGGTTCGAGCGGACAACGGAGAGAGATCCGACCCGACGGCCCGATGCTGAAGATCAAAGCGGAGCATCATGTGGTTAAGAGACGACTGGCCCGATTCGGAATCCGCGGGTAGCATCCGCCAAGGAACGGCTCCTCTATCTTGCCCTCCTTCTATCCTTGCTTCACCAGGCATCCACTCAACTTCTCGTACTCCTCTATACTCTGTACTTTTGCGGGTGCCGAAATATACTGTAATAGGACTATGAGTTCTGAATTGTGGCTCTGCGGATGCTTCGGACGTTGGGCATGTAGAGAATGGCGAATGCCGTGTAAGACGCGTGATTCATCTTACAGCCACCTTATATAAAGGGTATCATCTTGAGCCTCATAGAATTTCGTCAATCCCAGTCTCAACTAGGATAATTAAGCTTGAACTCTGACTCAACTTCAACTGATCCTGCCTATTGTTTCTTGATCCATCTCTACAAATTAATCCAGCGCTCAGCCTATTCAACAAAAGGAGAAATGCCTTCCCCACAACGAGTAGTCCTGTCTGCCATTCTGCTGGGCGGAGCCTTAGCTACCGGCCCACCAAGCTCCCAGAACTGTTCAAAAGTTGTAGGTCTACATCCCGACCGATTCTACGTGTAAAGACATCTGACTCCATGGGCAGTGCGAGTCAGTCAGCAAATTGTACCCTTCCGAAATTGTATTCCCCTCTTCACCCGGCTTCCAGACCGTTCAGCAATCTTACTGGAACTTGTTCCAACGTGAGGCTGCACCGTCTTGCTTTTTCCAACCTACCACGAGCGAGCACGTCTCGAAAGCTATAACCCAGGTGGTCAAGGAAGATTGCCACTTTTCTATCAAGGGGGGTGGCCACTCTTCCAATGTTGGAGCCTCCAGCATCACCGGTGGCTTTCAGTTCGACCTCGCCAAGCTGAGAGAATTCAAAGTCTCAGACGACAAGAAATCCGTGACTGTGGGCCCAGGATGGCGCTGGGGTGAATTGCTCCAGCAGCTAGAGCCACTTGGAGTCATCGCAGTCGGGGGCAGGGATACCGGTGTCGGTGTTCCTGGTTTCGTGTTTGGTGGTATGTACTCAATAGCTTGGATGAGGAACGTGTCGATCGCTAATCATCACCCCGGCCAGGCGGTTTATCATATTACTCAGCCCTTTATGGCTGGGGTATAGACAACCTCATCTCGACAGACATTGTGCTTGCGGATGGCTCTCTTGTGACTGCCAACCAGACGTCTCATCCTGATCTTTTCAAAGCCTTGCTTGGAGGCGGTGCACACAACTTTGGCATCATCACAGCCCTCAAGCTTGAACTACATCCTTATGACGGAATGTGGGGCGGTTATGTTCTCCATAAGGGCGATCAGATCGATCACATCTTCGCAGCCTATGAGAAGTTCTTCCATAAGCTGCAGAAAGATCAAAAAGGCCATATGATCTTAGATATCACCCGCGTCAATGGATCAATTGCAGCTGTTGAGTTCATCGGCTATCCGGAGCCAGTCGAGAATCCCCCTCTATATAATAGCATTTATGCTCTCTCAAGCTCTGCTAATACGCTCCGTCTGGCTAATTATACCGACCTTGCAGCGGAAATGGCCGTGGTAACCAACTCAAGGGGCCTACGTAACACATACCGGACCTTGACCATTGAGTATGATGCTGAGCTGCTCAGAGAGATCTTCGACACCTGGGCTGAGATCACCGAACCTCATGCTGCGGTAATTACTGCAAGCTTGGATATCAACGTAATCACCAGTCAGATGAGGAATAGGTCATCTCGTACTATCAAAAACACTTACGGTCTCGGAGGGGCTACCAACCAGCTGATTATCGTCATGTTCTCATTGTCCTGGGATGATGGCGCACAAGACACGACCAGTCATCGTTTAGTACAAGATTTAGGAAATGCTGTCGAAAACCTTGCCGACCAAGTTGGCAAATTGAAGCGCTTCAGGTATATGAACTATGCTCACATAGAGCAAGATGCTATTGGGAGCTTTGGAGACAGTAACAAAAAGTTACTGAAGCATGTCGCCAGAACCTATGACCCTCATGGTGTGTTTCAATGGTTGCAGCCAGGGGGCTTCAAGCTGGATGGTCAGAAAAGCTAGGCCGTTTTACGCGGAGGGGACTGGATAAGAAGGCTGTCATCTTCGAAGTAATATAGCTCTAGTTAAACTTCTAAAGACTTAGACAATTTGGCCCATATATCTAGCAAATCACGTCACTCTTGGTGCTTATGGTTCTTAGTCACAGTCTACTCATACTCTGATAAATAAATCACCAACGCCGTTATAATACCGAAGGGTCAGCTTAGGTTAGAAGAGGTAGCTGCTAGAGAGTTTTACCTGCTGCTAGCTTTGCTTTCTGCCTTGAACCCTCACCCTGGGATGGTGGCTACTGCAAAATATTGAGATTCCTTATAGCCATATACACGGGCTCCCTATCTCGGCACTGATTAGCCAGTTCTTTCCAAAGGATAGGAAACGAACCCCGGATCCGATACAACATGGTGGTTATCCAGTTGACCCTTAAACAAAGAACGAAACAATCTAGAAAGGGTAGTTGATCCGCAAGACTTAATATTTAAGCCACGACTTCCCTTAGAAACTATTTACTACTAAGACTTACTATGATATATGTACTCTCAACCCAGGCTTACTCATGTCAACCCAACTTTCCAATAACATTCCAACGCCAACCCTTCGGTAAACACCGTCGCCGAGATTGTTAGATGGTGTAACCAGTAAAACATAATGCTCTAGGTCTTGTATTCCATGTCCTTCAATCTTTGGGTTTTCACTCCCAACAATGACACATAGTGTATGTACGTTTGTTGGCGACGTGCCCTCGTCGTAGATGACCTTTCCCTGCGCCTCAGCTAATCCCAAGTTTGAAATCTCCCTTGCCTGCGCAGTAAGGTCAATCCTTCCATTGAGTTCCCCTGTATGCAAGGATCCTGAAGTAGAATCTGAGTCTCGAGCCGTCCAAGGCGATTGGATCCTTCCTTCGGCAGCCTCGTATGTCCATCGAACATGACCAAAAGGGATGTCAACGTATGTGATTGGTCCTTTATACGCTGTCCACGACCATGTTGGCACTCTGAACTTCTGGTCTCGAGGGAACTCAATCAGTGTCAGGCCATTACTTTGCTGTGTATCCCTCATCCATAAAAGACTACGGCCGAAGAATTCTCCGTTGAATACCCCGTATCCTCCTTCGGTCTTGAAAGCACTGACCAGCCGTTGTTCCAGCCCAGCTATCGCTATGGGTCGATCATGTATCTTCGTAAAATCGAGATTCGAGTATTGTTTGTACAGTGATTCATAAAATCGGATCTTTGCTCCTCTTGTCGACCTCATTGCTCGCTTGGGAAAGTTGGAGTCGCCAAGGAATGATGCCTTGCTACTACAAGATCGAGGTCAGCAATGATGTTCGTCTGCAGATATGTTTGCAACTTGCTTGGTCAACTTCGTTAAGGTTTCGCAGCGCACCCCCTGCCCACACTCCCAATATGTCTGATTCTCTGTGAAGTATATAGTTCTTGGCGCAAGAGCACGCTCTTGTAGAACCCATCCACGTTTGTTCAAGGCTCCTTCTATCACATCGTGCTGAAAGTCATCAATGGCTTCACAAACATAAACTGAGTCATTGGCAAGATATCCATCTAGCCTCACCGCTTCGCGCTCAGGTCTTTCCCACAAAAAGCCACTCGACGTTCCGTTAGCACGACTGGCGGCAATGACGCAGTATGCCGAACTGAAGACAGTCTCCATCCTTTTGGCTTCCGTGTCAAAATCTCCGTCTGGTCCTTGCACGATGCATAGCGAATCGATCCAGAGGTACGGGACACCAAGTGCCCGAGTCACCTCGATTGCATGTCTGAATGTGCTCGGAAAGTGCCCAACTTCAAGCCCGACACTAAGTCGTCTGTCAAGGTTTTCTGTTGTGGTGCAGAAATGGTCGTGATGTGTCCCATTGCCCCAAGGATGTGACAGTGCAATGTATCGCAGTTCATTTCCTGGGTGACATGTCTCACTCGCTGCTTCACGGAGGTAAACCTTTGAGTTGTCACAAACAACCCGGCCAACGTCGATTAGGCGAGTTGGAACTTGGACGCTTGACCTGTTTGCGGGACGACATTGGGGGTGGTTCGAGTCACAATCTTGAATCCAAGTCATAAGCAGGTCGTAGAACGGGGACGTACTGGGTCTAAAAAGCTTGGGCAGTCCAAGGTGAATCTCATCAGAGCACAGCCTGTTCCTTTTTGAGTCATCTGCTTGCCGAGGTCAATCATACATCCTGTAGAATCTGGTAACATATATACGGACCTGATATCTTGAAGAGCGACAGCAAAGGCATTTTCATTGTCCCCGTGACGAGCCAGGAGTCACATCTCCGAATCTCTATGATGTCTAGGTCATTATAGGCATGTGGTCGGAAAGCGCGGCAAACAATTCTATGCAGTGCACATTGCTGAACCTTGGATCTCATAGTCGCGAGATTCTCACTAATCAGAGGCTTATCGCTCCAATACTCAAGCTTTTTACATTCTTCGCAAAGCTTTATCTTTTCCTGGGACATAGACATGCTGTCCGTGATCTCGACTTCGTGATGCCTTAGGACTTCAAGAGCAATGGATTTGTCTTCCATATGGTTCCAGGTGTCATTGAACTGTGCATCTAGATCAATAACGGAGCGTTAGAGTCTGTTCTTGTACTTACTGCCTATGCGGAGAACTCGTTATTTGTTGTATAAAAGCTCTATTGAATTAGGACTTACGATCTTAATTTGAAATCGAATGGCTAGGTTAGTCTCGTATACAAAGTCCATCAGACAATTGTTAAATATTACTTACATGCTATTGAACGAATATGCATTAGCAACATCATTTTCACTAGACGTTTAATAAGTATTTCCCACTTACGCTCTATAAAACGCGGCGATGCACGATAAGTGATGTTGTCAAGATGATATCATCAGGGGATTAGACTTACATACTAAACCTAAGATTAGCTATTATTACTCGCGAGCTTTACCCTCGTGCTCTTACTTACAGTCTATAATACAAAATAATAAACAGAACCAGTTAGTCATCGCTGCTATGCTCTTCGATTCGCCGCCAATGCACCTACATCCTATCCAACATCAGCCTTTGCCACAATCAATCAAACTAAAGCTCTTACCAGATTCGATTGTTTCGAGGTCGAGCCTGAACTCGTTGACAAGAAGCTCTGCCTTCGAACACGCTGTGGACGAGGTGGGGAGACCTCGTTACGACTTTTACCCGAAGACAGGTATCTGCCTCCCTTTTGTTCATCGTCAATAGCCATTCTCTTGATGTTCTTGAGGCTCCTCTCCAAGTCATCCGCACTAGCACGACATATCTTGATGTCATCCTGACTCATGCTTCCTTGGGGCAGATCAACAACAAGAAGCTTATCCCTGACCAACACGACGAGGTCTCTTATCACACTTGGCGTCGCACGGTTGCATTCCGGGTCGACATCCAAGATGTGACTGATCCAACTTCGCGCTACGTCGCTCACTTGAGCTTGCCTTGTAGTCAGGTCCGCTGTAAAGTATAATGTTTCTTGATGGGTATTAATATCCTTCTCTTCGTTATAAAAGCTTCTCAGCCCCTCTTCGTAGCCATACAGGAGCCAAATCATATACTCGAATATGATACAGCCCATTGACCATATGTCATATCGGCGTGACCGAGGGACTCGAGAATTCATAGTCGTGATAACTTCAGGTGCCTCGTAGTGCGAGGTTGTGTATCTCTGCCGGGTTGGGTCTTGTCTCTGGGTAGTGGCAAATACGTGTTGCTTGGCTAGACCTAGGTCAGCGATTTTGAGAGTTCCAAGCCATGGAGACTTTTCGTCTTTGAAATGGAGGATATTCTCGGGCTTCAGATCTCCATGGCGCCAATGCTGCTCTTCAGCGTTGTCGCTGGAGTCATCTCCGTCATCTGAGCTTACTCCCTCGAAGCGTATCTTTGGAACAGTCAAGCGATTGCCATCGCCATCACCCTGGCCCTGAGAGAAGATTGTTTTGGATCTCGAGGTAGCGCCCTTCTTTGTACGATCAGCCGATGTTGCTTTTGCAGTTTTTGTTCTAGTGTTAGTGCCATGTAATCTCGAGAGCGCACTTGCAAGTCCAGTTAGTTCTTCTAAGACTCGCATGACCTTGTTACCATCTAGGAAAGATCTGTCGTGGGATTCTGTCTGCCAAATATCCCGCAAAGTGCCCCCATTAGCCCACTCGAGCATGATGAATCTTCTTTCTCCTTGTTTGAAGGCAGTGGCCTGACTGATGAGGTGTTTATGACGAAGCTCGGCAATCTGGAAGAGTGCATTTGCTTCATTCAGCCAAGACACATGTACGTTGTAGTTTTGCTCGCTCAGATTTTTCAACTCTTTGAGAGCAACACGTGTCTGATCTGTGTTCGACTGTTGAGTTGTTAGCTGTGGTATCCGTAGCAGTCTTGCTGTAGAGGATACTCACCTTGGAGGACCCATGAATAATTTGATGGCTAGGATGAATTGCAGCCTGAAATACAGTACTGAAATGGCCATCCTTTTGAGTGGTACCCTTTTCTATAAATGGGAGTATGTGTTTCGCATGGAATTCGTGGGACGAGCATCCCATGTCGAGTATTGGCGCACAAAATGTCCATTGATCATTGTAAAAGGTCCATACGTCGTGCGTATCCCAGCGATGAAAGGCTTCCAAAGCTTTTTCATGGCTGCAGACTCTTTGAAGCCCCTCTGTGTGAACATCGCAATACTTATCTTCCGAGGCGAGATCACGGATCGGGAGTTCCTTATCTGTCATTCCATGGTACTTGAAAGTATCCATAATGTCCTGGAGATTGCCATGATGCAATGATGCAGTCAAGAAAAGCCTTTGTGCATGTTTGCAGATGAAGTCTACCAACTCTGGCTTGGCATTCGGCAATAATACCTTTATCTTGTCTGGCGTAACAAGCTTTTTGATCTGACTCTCTGGAAGAAAGGATGCCTCGCTGAGAACACTACGCTTGAGCGAATGTCGAACGGTGTTGCGCAATTGGTTGAGTTTCGTCTTGTCAACCTCAGGTGACGCGAACGTGGTAAAAAAGCTCCAAACAGTAGCCATAAGTTCGAGAATCATGTGTGCGCAAATATATGAGTTTCACGATTTTACCAAGGCAATCATATAAGAGAGAAAAGATTCCGTAGGCAGGAGTGTATGAGAAATGGAAAGGACGCCAACGTTGACTGACGATATGTTTACTCTTTTTGTCCGTAAGCACCGTTCAGCCGCACCTTGCTTGCTGGTTGCACCACGTACAGTTAATGCATATGCAAGTACTATAAGCTATGATAAAATTGACACACATCCGCGTGACTGCTGCCTGAAGTCGAACACCCTGGCATTTTGGTCATGATTGGTTCCAGACAGATCTGCCGCTAACATCACGTTCGCCGCCATTCGATTGAGGCTGTTGCGCGAAAATTCCCTGCCTCTTGCTATTAGATAACTACTGTAGCCGTTCAGTCATGCCTATATTCTCCGCAAGATCTGACACTCAATTGGAGCCATTGATCCAGATCGTAGATCTCTCAGTCCACAGTTACGCGGGGAGCTAAACTGCTAGGTCCAAATACTTGAGATAAGGCTTTCTATCACTGACGAATGATATGTTTAGTGCCACCCTCCGATAGGCAAGAATTCTGCAGCCATTATAGCAGTATCACACATCTTTGACGAATGGGCTTGTTGGTTTGCCGACCGAGGCTCAATGCGGCTAAGCATAAGGAGAGATCATTTTGCGTCATCAACGACGCCTGGACAGCCCCTGGAATTTGACTTACACGGGCTGTTTTGATGTTTGGCTTGATAGATCTCGCACATATCATACTATCGAACGACCAATCTCTAATCAATACAAGCTATTGGCACTGCTCTTTAGTTCTTGTTAGATACCCGATCTTGGATTGTAACTGTGTATTTTTATCAACGGTTAATCAACAGAAGCTCTCAATTGAGTGTGAAACCAGGCTGTGAGAATGCCATATCATTATTGTGATGGTGTTGTGCTGCTGACAGGCGTCAATGGTATTCTCACTCAGGTGGTGTGATGATGTTGCATTCGCTTACATTGAGGCCTGCCACATTCTTTGCCCGGTTTGCAATTGAGGCCATCACCCCAAAACGCCTATCGGTCCAGTTTTCTCATTTAGGATTCTTTCCCCTTGTCAGGGTCAGGGAACAGCTTACTCAATTGACCTCGGATGCTAAGCAGCTCACAAGTCCGATCGCCTTATGAGGCCGCCGAACCGCAGAGCCTCACAGTTCGCATAGCAGTGCACTCATGTGTTTCCTTGTCAGGATTCCTAGATCGTAGCGTAAAAGAACACTATCAACCCCTGTTAATCTTTCCCTGAAAAATCGACGCGGTCGGCAACAAGGGCAAGCCTCCCAACCAAAATCGAACAAAGACATAAAATGTCTCTCTACAGGCAGTTAAATAAATGCCTCATCCCTTGTCACGAAGACGCAGAGTTCTTACCACTGAGTGAGATCAGCGCAAGAGTAACTGAGGACAACATCAAGTCGGAAGTCCCCGTTAGGAAGCGCTGCTTCTCAAATCGCAGTCTACCACGCACAATATTAAAGCAGGCCAGAAGGATATTTTCAATCCTGGTTCTCATTCAAGAAGCACAAGCTATCGTTAATCTCGTGTGTCGCGATAACATCACCGATGAAGATCTTCCTCTTACTCGACAATCCATGAGCGGGGACGATCAAAATGTCCTGATATCCGCCAAGACTGGAAAAGCTTTCCCGTCATTTTCTCTGTGGCCGAGGGAGGCGAGAGTGCGGGACTTTCTAAACTTCCAATGGCTGGTACAAGCGCCTGTCCTCAATGCTCTCGGTCAACATATCTCGCTGGACACGAAATGCCCTCTCCCCCTAATAGACTGTGTCATGAAATGCAAAAGTGGTCCGAATAGCGTGCTACACAAATGCAAGATCCATGGGGCCCATCAATCAATCTTCAAGGTCACAATAACCATCCCTTACAAGAGTACTTTGACGCTCACAAGCTCTAGAATGACCCAGAGCCATATGTTGCTCTCAAAGAAGTCAACAATGACGAGGCGTTCGAGAAGGAAAAAACAAACCTAGAGCTCATACAGTCTCTTAAGCACGAGCATCTCATCAAACTGATCGCTACCTGTCAGAAGGGATCTATATGCTATTTTATATTTCCTTGGGCTGATGGTGGGGATCTTAGAGACTTTTGGAAGGCTAATGACACAATACCACGCTCCCAAGAATTGGTGGTGTGGTCTCTCCGCCAAATTCTGGGCATCGTGAGTGCGATCAACGCTTTGCACGGCAAAAATACTCGGCACGGAGACATAAAGCCTCAAAACATTCTTCATTTTCTCAAGGCGCATGATGATGCTGTCATGGACAGTAGAGGAAGACTGATCCTTGCAGATGTTGGAGTTTCCAAGATCCATCGAGAGATCACGAGCATGAGACAAGATCCCACAAACTGCCAACAGTCCACAGTCACGTACGAAGCGCCTGAAGCCCAGTCAGACCAACGAGAGGGCAAGCCGAGAGGTCGTCGATATGACATGTGGTCTCTAGGCTGCATGTTTCTCGAATTTACGGTCTGGCTCGTCTTTGACTACAGCACAGTCAGAAGTTTCAGAAAGTCCAGGCGTACTCGAGATGATCCCAAAGACGCCTTCGGAAGCTTTTTCGTCCAGACTTCAGACAACTTAATCCAGATCCACTCTGCAGTCATCGAGGCGATTGGCCACTTACGGGGTCATCCACTTTGCAGTGGCGATACTGCTTTGGCAGATCTTATCCAGCTGATTCAAAACCACTTGTTGCAAGTTGACGTCCGGGCACGCACCGAAGCCCCGGAACTCTTGAAAAGGCTAGAGAGCATCATTCACAGAGCTGAACAGGATGGCAATTACTTATATCCAAGGTTTGTCGACAATAATGGTTAGGATGTATATCATGTCAGCTTTCCTAGAAGAAATCACAAACATTTATCATCTGATTCAACGTCTTCGACAAACCTGAACATCAGCTTCGTTGATAATATCCGTCAAGACTTTCCAGAGTCCGTCCAAGGGATCTTTCTCAGATAAGACTCGTTGTCGGCCTCAGTGGTACCAATACGGCTTTGACCACTGCTCAGTTTGTTCAACTCGAGAAAAACAGCATCGCGAGTCGAGATCTGACCCACCACGAGAAGACCTAGCTTGATGGCAATTCTGATTTTGCTTTCGACGAGCGGTCCATAGCAAACGCATTCCAGGGTCTCTCCACAGGATGGGGCAGAACCTTATTTATTTTATCCAGATGATAAAGGCCGAAGCATAGGTTGCAGGAGATGCTATCAGAAGCCATTCTTATATGTCTTACAGCGTGCCCGACAGGAAGAGAGATATGTTCTTGGCTTCAATATTTCATGTCTATATGACGATACTTCGAAATTGTTGAGTGATTACTCCCCTATCGGCGAATTTTGATTCCTGCTGACACGTATCTCACAGACCAAACGGTCGAGGCAGAGCCAGTGGCCAGTCCCTCGCAGGACTACATTTTGCCATGTAATAAACTTTTTATAACGCTAGTGGAAGCACATACCCGTGTTCAGAAGTTGTAGAGATGGGTTACTCATTCAATAAGGGCATTCCAGGGAGGTACATGCTCCCTGGTTTTCTAGGTCCGAGATCGAAGCAGGTATAATTGATGTTTTATTACTGTGAGGGAATCTCAATGTTCGCTAGAAAATCACCAATCCACGTGCAAAATTCCGTATCTGCCCACTTCCCAATCACCCTCAGAGCCGTGAGAAGCTGATACATTCCCACTATACTTGCTGTATCACCAATGCGAACCGCTTGGTCAATAAGCGTCTGCATCACATTAGCATAAGCCTTGCCAACAGGAGGAGGAAGAACTTACAATCTTGTCTTTTTCATCAGCAGCGAAAAGCACATGCCAAACGTTCCCACATACTGCAACAAAGCAATAGAGATAGGATCCTTGGCGAAATTTGCATCTCATAGACGTTGATACCATGCTGCTACCCATATTCCTAGTCGCACCTTGCTGCGATCCGCGGTGCTGCTTGTAGTCCTTGTTTCGATAAATAGGGGTGCTGTTCTGGACGCCAGAGCAGTATATGCTCTCTGGTTGAGAGTATCGTGCCACTGCGTCTTGAGGAACTTATCGATGGTAGCTTAGAGTGTTTCTTCAGGTATAAGAGCGAGTGCGAAATTGACCATCTTTTGGACTGATGATTCAGGTTCTGTCCACGTTCCCGAGTTGTCACTGATAAGACTTCAAGGACTTGAAGCAGCGCTTAATGATCCTGAGCTTGATAGATTATTTAACTTTAGGCAAAACTCTTTGATAGTCTAGTCACTGGTTTATGCTTTTCTAGCTATATCTCTTTTTCTAGCTTTTGTAGTTATATCTCTCCGTATTACCTTTTTAGGCTATATTCTTTATTTTAGCCTCTTTTCCCTACTTATCTTTCTTATCATTTCTTTCTGGTATTGCTCCGAGGTTTAATTAAGTCCTTAAATCGACAAGCCTCTTATTGCTTTACGTATCTTAGTATATATTTTGCAGACAGGAATAAGCGGTTAATGCTCTTCGACAACCACTAGCTGCGGCAATACCTGGCGTTGGTTTATGAGATAGGTTCTTCGATTTAACTGAGCATTTTCGCCCCGTTCTGCGATATGTAACGAGGCTGACGGTACATGTTAAGATCTCATCGGTTACGTCACGTATATCCTATAATTTTCATTTCACAACCACCAATCACGTTAGGTACGACATCGCCCGTACACATGATCAACTTCACACTCATAAGATAAGCACATAGCAGACATTTATTAGCTCTCTTCTAGAATCTAGCTTACTAACTATTTATAAAACGTCTTTACCTCTTTAATGTTTTAGGTATTTAGTAAATATTTTATACTTATTATTACCTCCCTTACTCCTCCTAGTATTATATTCTTATAATCTCAAGGTAGTGTTATAGCTCCAGGCCAGGCTGGCTTACCCTAGACCAGTAACCAGATGGATCCAGATCACGTGGCGATAGGTTATCCCGCAGATGTTGTTCACTGACCACATAGCCCCTAAACGTAGCTCCTCGAGGTACGTCTTGTCACTAGAGCCTGGCCTGCCTGCAGTGCCTATCCGTAGCAATAGATTATATTCTGCCCGACGCGTTCCTCGTTTACCTGTGTACCTGAGCCCGGCCTGTAACAGATAGCATAGTTTAAAGATATATTAATTTCTCCTAGATGTCACATATTATCCCCCTTTAGTAATTTAGCTCCAAGTAGTTATTTCTTTACTTTTAAACGAACTATAAATAACTTAATATCTCCATACTTAATATATATATAAAAAATTATAAAGTAAGTAAAATTCTATTTAAAATTATTATTTATAATAGCTTCTAGCTTTATTAATAAGTTTCTTATTAAAACATGTTTTATATTTTATTATTTTTATATAAAAACCCTTTTTCTTTAAATTATATTTTATAAAAAAGGATTTAATAAATTTAATAATATTAATAAATCTTTTTATAAGCCTTTTTCTCCTAAGAAAATAATTATTAAAAGTTACCTTAAAGTAAGGTTAAGTACTTTTCAAAGACATAATAACAAAATGCCACTATGCCATTACTCATCTTGCCAGAACGAGGTGAGGAGATTTTTAATATAGAGTCCGACGGTAACAGAGTTCGTGAATTTATTCGCAACCCGCTACACCCAAGTACAGATAGATAATGAACGACTCCATAGAAGGAAGGGCCTGCACTATACTGCTGGAACATGACGTCGTGTCAGCTTTTAGGCAGTTAAGAGCTGCCTGCAAAAAGGATCGGCATCGATAGAAGGACAAAGTTCAGTTTAAAGTTTTATCATATAAACTCGAAGCTTGCTACATGCAACCATATTGGCCTCTAGCAAAGGTTTTAGATGTGCACTACAAGGGTTATTTGCAGAGGTTTAATACATTGCCCGCATAGAAGCTTGAAAATATGCATGGAGTCGTCATTTTCACATGTTTAATACGCCCCTGGCGCATGAGATCAAGTAGCTCCGGTTGCTCACTGGCCTGCCTGCCGTGTTTGAAGCAATATACTAGTCTAATGTGGTAAAATACGACATACTCTATTGCATAGGACGATTCGTAGATCTTCTTGATTCCTAGGCCTTCTGGTCTGTCTCATATGTGGTAGGAAAAGGTGTGGATGCAAAATATTGGGCTGCGACTTATCTTGGTCAAAGGCATGAAAACTCAGTATTGTCATTGCTCAAATAGATAAGAGAACAACGAGGATAAAGCCTTATATAACTATTAATAGAATATGTTTCTAGATAATATTTGTTAATAAATAGCAAATACTATATACTATTATTATAAAAGAAATCGAAATCCAAGATCTATATCTCTTTATAGTTATATTTAAAGAGGTCTTTACTATATTTAAAAGGAAAAGAAAATTATTAATACATAATTATATATTAGACCTGACATACCAAGGTCTAGTTTAAGTGTATCAAGATATGTAAGTATTGCTGATATTGGTATAGTTAAGAAACGAGAATAAAGAAAGGAGTTGATTGTATGGATCAATGTCTTGGTCTCTGCTTGACCCCAGCCGGCATCTTTGACGGACTGCACTTTTTCGGTACAATCAACGGTGTGAACATTGAGATGCTGGCTTGAAGATCTTGTTTTTGACATAAGTCTTCGGGTCTACTGGATCCTCCTTATAGCGAAGCCAAGCAAAGATGCTATATGCCATTACCTTCTTGATATGCCTAGAATAAAACAAGTTACAAGGTATCTATCCCTTCCCCACGAGCTTACTGACTCTCAGATGGCAAGATACTACCAGATATCTGGGGCAGGACGTGGAAGCAGGCAATTATAGTTCGACAGCCCAGGTTAACCTTAATTTTATAGTAAATGAACTAAACAAAATTGCCCTTTCCCTGCAAATTAGTTTGACATTAATTGAGAGAGAATTTGTCCCTTAACCATGGCCTGATCCCGGTCCAAGGGCCGAAGGTATAGCCGTGCTTGCCAAATTTTGGCGCGAGAGAGAAATTGCCAAAAACTTATTGGGGTCAGATTTGCTATCTCGCTAGCATTGATTGTCTAGTACTGTCTAACGAAAAGCTGTGTCCCTGGAACAATTATTGACACTGAGAATACCCTTGTATAGATATTAGCATGAAATCCAAGATAAACCAAATTAGGGGACTTACAGTCGTTAATCTTAACGCAGCTATAGGGAGTTGCGCACTGCAATTTCTATTAATGTTTATGCAAATTGAAGCAGTTATCGCCTACTTACCTGTTTAGGACCTGTCCAACCCATGCCACCACATTGACCCCATTGAGGAGATCCCTCCGAACCACCAGTGTTCGTAGGTACGGTGGCAGTAATAGTGGGCGATGGTGTCACTGGATCCTGAGAATTCGTTAGCCGATGTACAGGAAGTAGGTAATGTAACTTACAGTAAAGCCAAACCATTTCAAATCTTCTTCTGGGAACACATCAATATTATGAGTAATACCCTGGCCCAAAAATGTCTATAGCAAATGTCAGCGAAACTGTTCAAAGAAAGTTAGTTGTTTACGTCACCTGTAGCTTGTCGCCAAAAACGTATCGAGTATACGGACTCCGTGGGACGTTGGCAGTTGTAGATTCTGGCTCAGCTGGATAGCCAAACACACCAGTCCATTGTTTAATGGTTTCGTAATAGTTCTGTACATTCAACACTTCATCTACTGACCCGTGGTAGATTTGCATTTTTGGTCGTGGCCCATTATATCCAGGATACATATTCTTAACCACATTGGCCCATTGACCTTGGGTATAGATGGACTGTCCAGTAGCGCATGTTGAGTTCCAGTAGTCGGGGATGTCGTCTTCGCTCCTAAAGCAACCTGCCGGGACACCTGCGTATGCGATTCCTGCTGCAAAAATATCGGGGTAGGCGGCAGCCATGACATTCTGTTTCTGGATTAGCTCAAAATCACCAAAGGCTTCTTTCACACGCCACGCACGGTCATCATGGCACCAGAGGAAGTACCCGTAACAAATACCCTGCTACTATCGGCACTATATTCCTTGATGACAAACTTGGCCATGTTGGCTATAGAGTTACTAGCACCACCACCGTCATGAGTCAAGGTCATCTTTGATGCCACATCCCAGCATTTGTCCTGGGTGTACGGTGTCTGAGGATAAATTACGATGTAACCGTATGTCTCGGCGTAGAATGCCCACCGGGTGCCCTGATAGTATGCTTGAGCACTACCGGTACACCAATGGATGCCAACTACTACCGCAGGCTTTGGTGCTAGGGTCTTAGGAACGTAAAGCCACATGCGAGTACCTGTCGGGTTGTCGCCGTAGTCGGTTACCTCAGTGAAGGTGGACCTGGGGACGACCTCGGCAGCCAGAGCTGTGTAGCATAGAGTCAGCAACCAGAGACTGATAAAGGCTGTCAACTTCATTGTAACGGTGGAGAGAGTTTCACGAGATAGGATTTTACATGGTAGATGGAAGCAAGAGAAAGAGCGTATCACGATCAATATATATACAATCTAGCGCAACGAAAAAATAAAAAAGACTTCGGAACAACATGCCTCAATAGGTCGTTCGGACCAATTGCCTCCGCTTTTATGTTCGATGAAATTAGCAATATGAAATATACCGCAAAGGAAGCTCAACCTTATTGGATGATCGCGAAGTTGGATCTGCGATACATCGGCTTTAGGGTACGGATCCGGCACTTGAATAACGCCACGGAAAGATCTCAAAATTGACATTCTTAACTTGTATATATCCGGAACTCTTGCTTAGGGAAATGAGTGCAGGATTTCCTCCCTTTTCAGACACTGTCTTACGGCGTGGCGAGCTTGGTGCGGGGTTACTTAGAATATGTGGAGTGGACAGAAAAGCCTCTCCGCCTCAATGGAATGGGAGCGAGGGCGGATAGGAACCTTGCGGTTGTTTGTGAAATAAGACTGTTTTATCTGAAGTTGAAAAGGCACAATTCTGCGAGGATACGGTTCCTTTTAGCTTTTCTTTTAGGCTTTTATTTCTTCACTCACTGTTATGTCCACATAGGCTGGTCAAGAACATCAGAACAACCCTGTTGCGTAGACAGCCACAGAATGCAGCTCAAGTTGCCTCGATCCGCTCCTCGGTATTATGTGAACTTGTTTCCAGCGACACATTATCGCTCTTGAAGATGATGTCTGCTACCAGTAGGCTCGCAATGAGACATAATACGATCAGCGGAACGGACATGGTAAAGACTGCTCGAAATCCTTGCATGCGTGCATGCAAGATATCGCCAAGGAGGTTACCAACGATGAGGCTTTGAGAAGGAAAAGGTAAATCTAGAGCTTATACAGTCTCTCAAGCATAAACACCTTATCAAACTAATTGCTACCTGTCAGAAGGGGCCTATATACTATTTTATATTTCCTTAGGCTAATAGTAAAGATCTTAGAGACTTTTAGAAAGCTAATAGCCTAAAATTGCAGTCCTAGGATCTTATCCTATAGTCTTTTTGCTAGATACTTAGTATTATAAGTATAATTAATACTTTATATAGAAAAATTACCTAATATAGAGATATTGTTATAACCCCCGCGTCTACGTCACGTGGCCCCCATAATTTCCACTAATTTCATCAGGATTACTTCTCCCTGTAATAATCCCCTTCTTTTTAAATTACTTAGATTATAAGTGCTTATCTAGAAATCATGCAAAGACACAGAGGTCCTTAATGTTCTTCGTGACCTTGAGTTAGGCTTTTTTCCAAGGATAGGTCCTTTATCGTCTATGTTAACTGTACCGCATACGTCGGCTGGGCCGTTTAGGCCCAGGTCTTCCCGTCGGTGACTGGGGCCAGGGCATTTGTATTGTTGTTCGGTTCGAGGATCGTGGATTTGAGGAAGCTTAAAAAGAGCGTGATGATCCTCTTGGCGTGTCCTTTTAAGTCGTGATTGCAAGTGGTGGTGATATTATCTAGAGAGCTGGCAATGAGCTTGAGTACTGTTCATGTAGTATTAGGATATTTATCTTGTTTTTCAAGGGCCCGGGTCAGCGAGTCCGTCGAAGTATTCGCGTAGGTATGGATTGAGGTATCCAGTCCGGTGTGTATGTTTATAGCCCTCTGGGACCTTCCAGTCGTACGCAGATCCAGCCCTGCGATCGGCGCTGGTTGCATGTGCTAGGCCCTCTTTCGAGCAGGCTGACCTGGGGTCTAGGAGCCCAAAAATATCGGGTTCCCTCTGTCGGCGATCTCCTGATAGGCAGAATTACACCACTTTGGCGCACATCCTTGCCGCCGCGCCTGGCTCTATGGCAATAATGGGCAGCTGGTCTGGTGTTTTTGCTAATTCTGGAGGTTGTTAAGTTTTTCGTGGCAGATTAAGAGTACACACTAACAGTAAGTGCCAAGAAAAATAAAATTAAGAGGAGGATGATTGATGGTAGTCTTCTTTATGAAGCCGCCAACATTACCTGTGGACACTGCAAGTGTCAATCAATGACACCACTATCAGGTGTAAGGGTTAAATGATCGGAGAAGCACGCAGCTTGAGCGCCTCTCTGCGTACTGACGTCAACAAAGTTCGCGACAATCCAGAGCTATGCTACCAGGAACACATAACCCACAATACCTTATCGTCCTACTTAAAACAACATGGCTTCAGCGTTACTAGGAAATCTTATGGTATAGACACAAGCTTTGAGGTAGAATTCGGTACTGGAGGACGTCTCGTCCGAGTATGACGCCCTACCTGGTGCCAAAGCGCCGGTAGATCTTAAGGTGGCAGGACGTATACGCATTCTGGGTACTCCCGCCGAAGAGGGTGGTGGCGGTAAGGTGAAGCTCATCGAAGCCCGTGCCTTCACTCCACGAGAGGATATAGCAGCCGCTTTTATGATCCACCCTATATCTTAAGAATCACTGGGTCTAAAAGGCTTCTCGGGACTGGCTAGGTGGAGATTGATAGCCAGCCAGAAGTTGCGAGTCGAGTTCGAGGAAGACCCGCCCACGAGGCTAGTAACCCATGGAACGGGATTAATGCGTTAGACGCAGCAGTGGCGGCTTATAACAATGTCGCCATGCTCTGATAGCAAATTAAGCCTGAGGAAAGAATCTACGGTGTTTTCGAAGACGGTGGAAGTGCGCCCAACGTCGTCCTAAACTACATGAGAATGCATGAGGAAATTCGAAGCCCGACAATAAAGTAAGCAGACTAGTTACTTAAGCGCGTTAAGAAATGCTTTAAGGCCGGCGCAATGGCTTCTGGTTGCTCCATTAGATACACTAAGTAAGTGGAACTACTTATCTTGTTATTATACAACATGGCTGACTAACACCTTCCAGGGTCCCCGACTTATAAGGACCTGCAAGTAAATGACACTCTTAGCGAAACTTATGTGGAGGAAATGGCCGCACTAGGAGAAAGATTTATGCCTCCAAGGAACACGCTTGTTGGCGAGCAGTCAGTTAGTCGTTAGGGCATGGCCGGGAGGAACTGGGGCCTCGAGAAATCCAGCCTAAAGCCTTTGGCTCAACAGATATGGGAATTGTATCTTACGAAGTCCCCGGTCTTCACAGTGCTTTTGTCGTCCCAACACCTTCAAATGTCGCTCGTCACAATCCCAACTTCGCTGCAGCTGCAGCCACAGATGAGGCTCACTCTATTACAATTAAGTGTGCCAAGGACTTGGCAATGTTGGCTTTTAGAGTGTTGACTGACGATAAGGGGGCTATGGGCGCAAAAGCGGACTTTGACGAGGGCCTACAGCTGAGGATACACAACACTAACAGGGAGGATGGCTCCCCAAATTATATACTCGGATGCAGGGCCAATCGTGAACCAATAAGCAACTTAGGTAGCCGCTAACAATTAATATACCGATTTCGCTAAATAGATATTATCACCTAAATATTTCAAGGTGCCTGATCTCTTGACTCAATCATTTATTATTAAGGGGCTAGCTATACTGCTACTCTTTATCTTATTTTTTTATGGCGAGCAGAAAGCCATCATAGTTCTTCTCGCCGACAGTTTGAATCACCGTTGCGTCAACTCGATCGTCCTTCCCGATTGCTTCTATGAGTTGTCGGGTGCCCAAGACCCGATCATCCTTCTCAGCTTCCTTGGCAGAAGCAACCTTGCCGTTCCGAACAACGTTATCGACAATGATAGCCGTATTAGGCTTTGTCATGGAGACTGCCAGATTGAAGTATGCGAGATTATCCTGCTTATTGGCGTCGATGAAGACAAAGTCGAATGGAGGCCGTGCACCCGATTCCACTTGTAAGACCAATTGTGGAAGAATATCGAGCCCAGTACCTTGAAGAATCTCAACTTGGTCCTTCAGGCCTGCCCCTGAAAGATTATTCGATGCCACGGCAGCATATTCCTTGTCTATCTCGATCGTTGTGACCTTGACTGTTGGTCCAGCCAGGGCCATCCACGCGGCGCTGTAACCGCCTAATGTACCGACTTCGAGAATATTGGTGGCATTGCAAAGCTCGATTTGCAGCTTGAGGAACTTGGCCTGTGCTGGGGAACAGGAAATATCAGGAAGACCGGCGGCAATGGAATCGCGATAGATTCTATCCAATGCTGGGATGTACGAGCTTTCGGCATTCTTCAATAGGTGGGAATTGACGTAATTGTCAACCTCGACATGTCTCGAATCTCTTTCGTAAGTAGATTCATAGACCTGTGGTCCAACCGGCGTGAATCTTGGGGCTGACATCATGTGTACTAATGTCCAGGGTTCGATTTGGAGAGAAGATCGTATTTCGGTGGGTTGAGATTAAGAGGTGGCGAGAAAGTAGGATTGAACAAGACACTAAGTATATACAGCAGCAATTGTCAAACGCGCCCTATGCAGGCTAGAGAAGCTCTGATTCGGTGTTGATCCTCTAACTTGTGTCTCAAATCAGTTTAATGCCTATCTTTTCCGATGCCGATTTTTCCGACCTGGGGCGGCTATAGCTTTATCCGCGAAGCTCCGTGGATTGAGTCACCCAAAGCCGAGATAGGGGGCTAACAGCAGTGATTGAGTCAATTGATCAATTCGGCAATGCATAAGACTAATCCTAGTGGGATATATGCACTTGTCGTCTCAATATTCAAGCATGTCCTTCGAGAATAAGAAAAAAATGAAACTGGCGGAGATTTGATGGAATGCTTAACGGCCTGAAATATCGCCAAAAAAGGATCTCCGATTAATGTTATCACTGCCCTGAAGATGACTCATCCAGCATCGAGGTAAGCAGGCCGCAACAAAGTCAAATTAAATGGTAAAAAATACAAAGATGATCGCATTTGGCGCTCTTTAGTCGCTTTAATTGTCTATACTTGCATCTGGCTCTATATGGCGTTTTGTTGATCCCCGATTGCGTGCCGGTCGCGTTCTCTTTGCCCATCGATCGTCACTTCAAGTTCTTATCAGTGAAATGCACTCGCAAGGGTTACCTCTAAAGCCCAGAGCAGGACCTTTTGAGTAGACTACTCTCCACAGTACTATACTCTTTCCGGGATATATTACAAATTAATTCATCAGTAGGGCATTGATCGTCGGATCCAAGGACGTTAATTACACCTTATCGAGCTCAGGGCGTAAAACAAGTACGAAAGTCGGCACCTTGGCTCCAGTTCTGTGTTGGCTTTTGTCAGCCAATGGTAAGAAGTCAGGTGCATGACCAATGCGCTGTCTCACCGCAAACTTGAGCCTGGCAGACTGAGAGTTGTCTTGTGGCGGAAGTAAAGTCGGCTCAAGGATCGGGGGACAGATAGGCTGTTTTTATTTTTATTCTTTTCGATTGTAAAAGTCCAGATTTACTCATTCATTCCATGAACACGGTATATTTGGTCCTAAATCAACAAATTTGGTACTTTGGGCACTCGTAACCTTAAAGTGTCGACTCCAATGATGTCAACCACCACAATGGCTCTACCTGAAGAAACCAAGCGCCGAGGTAGTTGGGTTCCCACGCGGAGAAAACCAGAATGTCCTCTTAAAATCTCAATCGATAAACACTTTGAAGCTAAGATCTACACCTCGGGCTTAACAGTGGCAGGAACCGTATCATTCATGCCACAGACGAACCTAACCTTTGATACCTTTGAGATAACCTTTACCGGCGCTGCATCATCCCTTGTCCAAATATTTCATCAGGGAACAATGCCCAAGTCAGGTCACCAATTTCTCCTCCTCAGAATGCCAATTGCCGAAACCGCTCTTCCAGCCTCAGGTAAACTCCAAGCTAGACAGACTTACGAGGTACCTTTCGCTTTCGTCATCCCATACCAACTCCCCAGCGCGGCATATAAGCACCGAAATACTGTAATCCGCGAGCAACACACTTCCACCAACCATTAGAACGTAGGAGCACGACGACATGGCCGTTCACACGGTTGGCATCCAATATGCGATTGAGGCGCGAGCATTGCTCAAAGCAGATAAGAGAGGCAAATCACCCACTTTAGAGAGGTGTCATCCTGTCAGAGTAATGGCGTTTCTCCCGGAACAGCCACCCTTGCACATTGTCCCCGGAAGTGCTCGGTTCATGCTATCCCAAGAGAAGTCAATTCGGAAGGATATACTCTCATCCAAACTCGGCTATATCAGGGCATCTGCGAGACAACTAAAGCCTGTTATCATCTTAGTAAATAAGCTGCATCTATCAAACTGCCAACTGAGCATCAATCTTAAATTCTGGCCCACTTCCAAAAAGGCAGCACCTCCCGAGATATGCGGAAAGTCAGCTGCTATCAAGGCATCGACGTACTATTCCACAGGTCACATTAGCTTCTCACCGGATCAACACAACAATCCCAGCGTGACGCCCAACCCAATCTTGAGTTTCGTCCTTGATGAAAACGCGATAATAAATCAAGCACCAATGTTGGTCTAGGAACCAATATCAGCCCCTTCTTCAGTGTAGAGTTCCCACAGAGGCTCAGAAATGCCGAAAATGGATCAGGAACCCCCTCGTACAAGCTCAAGGCGAGGCTTTAAGAGCAGTGATATCATCAAGACGGAATCGCCAAGGCACACCGCCACATTACCGATATCAATCACGTTACCGAGCCCCGACAACAAGATTCTGTTGCCTACGTTCTACTCCTGTCTCATCAGCCGAACCTACATACTAGAAGTTGTGCTGGCTGCGAGATCGCATGGGTCGAGCTTCACATTGAGACTACCCTTGCAAGTTGCCGTTGACGGCAACAACGAGACGGACAGGAATAGCATCCCGGCATATGTGGGTAAAACCGAGCAATTGCCGTGCATATGAAAACTGACTGTTAATTCTAGGAACAAGTTCAAGCCGGACAAGGTTGCTATGATATGCTGCCGTCTTATGAGATTGCTATGTAATGGTGATGCAGTTTAACTAGCTCTTCAGTTGAAATATCCGATGGATTCAAAAAGGTTTTGAGACGCTATTGGTTATACAACACAATGACGAGGAAAGTTCGCATGATATGGTTTCCTATTTGGAGGAGAATAATTGTACTCTTGAGGATCATATACCCTATTGTTAATGGATACACTTAGCTATTCTCTAGTTTAAGCCACCTTCACTACTACTTAGATGCTTTGATTTCTCCCAGCTCTTCATCATATCGATCTCTAACAGCTTTAAACTAATTGTAAATTCTGTGAGGTAACACAGTCATCCAGTTATCAATCGCGTGGTGAACGTTTGGCCTCGAGTCTCGCACGAGTGTTCATCCTGCTTATTACATGACCATTTGCCTAACTCGACACCCGAACGCCCCTGCAACAATTTTCGACCTTATATTAAGTTGAGCCTCGTATCGCCGAACTCTAGCATCCATAATTAACCTCTGATTATTTTACTACAGGACTGGTTCATGCATGATATGTTATGTATATTTTTCGTCCAGCGGGCTTTAGGCCCCGAAAGTCCCCCTTCTGGGGCACAGGACCTGCTGGGCCAGAGAAAATTGGATCTACGCTCATTACAGAGAGCCATTGGCTATGCGAGAGTTAGTCATTCGCGACGCGAAAGGAGTCTTCCCTCAGATCCTGATTCCTGCGGATGCATCAGTAGACCACACTCTACCCAGCATATCATCGGCACAAATAGCGCATCCTGTCGAGCCTTCTACCTGCCAACGGGATGATCAGGCGCGACCGAAAGGTCGAGGCCGCTTGTAGAGCCTGGTGTCAGGAGGGCTGAGATCAGCCTGTGTATGCGGCAGCTCGAGACTGCCTCAAGGTGGTCCCGACCAGATTCAGGGCGTGGTAACGCCATGTCTCGACACGGCAGATGATATTACATCCTGATAGGGTGCTTCTTACAGGCCACCCTTGTTGGGTGACGAACACCAAAACCAGAGTGTACGATAAGATCGAATAATTTACCATATAAATAATAGCTCTCAATAAAAGCAAACTAACCATTATAGTCCCAACGTCGAACTTCATACTTATACCCTTTTTAATGCCTTCTCTATCGTCATTGGGGCGTATACTAGAGTTTGTCGGTTACCCCATGTTATGCTAGCGTCCTTTCATTTCCCACCAAAATAAGTTCGTCGGTTTCCAAACGACGCGAGGGATGCCGTTAGGGTCCGTAGCTGCACGTCAAGCTTTGAAACTACATATTCTGGGTCAAGAGGAACAATCCCGGCTCCTCTAAAGCCTTCCTTGATACTCCTTTCTGTCATAGTTGCTTAAAAGGCGGCATAAAAGGCTAGAAAGAACTCAGTCTTAGAAACATAGGTTATAGAGCATTAGATTAGATACTTAATTTCTCGACTATATGCCTACTTAAGCACAGAAAAGCACCTAATATTAAGAGGCTAAAGTAGGTAAGATAAATAAGGTGGCATATAAAGTAGAATAATTTTATTTGCCTTATAATATCTTTTAAAGTTAACTAAGTAGGGACTTTTAGAGCTATTAAGGATTAGAAGATAATAGTAATTTTTTAATCCCTTGGTTATACACCAGTTAAAGTGCTTTAGTTATACTTTATAATTATATTCTCTATAAGTATAAATTAGTTATAAATAGTAGTTAAATCTTTATATTTAGCTCTGTAGTAATTATATCAATAAAAGAAATATATCTTAAGCTCTTTATATTACCTTTTAAACTTAAAAGCCTAGTACTTATTAATAAGTAATATATTATAATTTATAAGTAATTAGTTAGTTATTACTTTAATACTATATAATTATAAGAGAAATACCTATAAATCTAAGTCTAAAATAAAATAAATTATAATTTATCCCTCTAGATTAGATAGTTTATATAACTTTAAGATTTAATTACTTTAAGATTAAATGCCTTTTTACTAGTGCTATATAATTATATAATTAACTTTATAGATCTCTGCAGCATATTATAGCTTTAATTTTATATTATTTTTAAAGGGCTTAAAAGGAAAGAAGGATTCTACCCTTAATCTTAGGGTCTAACATATTTCGTGGTTAAGAATTAATAGATTAAATAGAGGTGATATAAGTTAAGGGACTTTTGCTACGCAAGCTTATTATGTACGTTAGCTAAAAAAGCTAGAAATAAGATCTTAGATTTCACTTTATTAATTTTATTATATAACAATTCGCCATCGCAGGGTTTTACCCTCATCCCAGGATTTTGCTGCCCCTCCCTGAGTGGAGTCCTCGTAGGTCTGATCTATGAGTCGCGAGCTACCGTAGCTTGTTACAAACTCATCCGCTATCGCACCTGGTAGAACGAAGGGCGTATCGTAATGACTCACACCGAATCAAGTACCGTAAAAGCTCTGGAACTTGCAACAGACTTATGGGTCGCAGATAGTAAATTCAACTTCTATATGCTTCTGTAAAGCCAAAAACTTTAGCTGACTAAGGAAATCCTTTGTTCAGAATCGCTAGAGGTCTAACTAGCAGCGCGCTGCTTAATCCGGTACCTACTTCCTTATTGGTTTTCAGGCCCGGATCGGCTCGAGAAGTACGGAAGCGGATAACATACCCAATCACCTTTTTGCGTACACGTATATGATGATCCGAAGGATTCAGCTAGGGCAAGCAGATGGTTCCAATCCGAATAAAACAAGTGATCGCAAAGGTACGTGACTACCCAGCCTTCATAATTAGTACCTAAGCGAATATGTAAAGTCTCTTTTTTCGCCACATCCGCCTAAGAGAATATCCGTATAGATCGAGCCGATCAGGGCCTTATAGTATAAGTACACGCCATCATCGGATTTTGATTCAAACCTGCTTTCATCGCATCCGCAAACACAACAGCTATCATGTCGATAATTAATCATCGGCAGGCCTTGATTTATGGGCCATTTCACTAACTCATATTCTTGATTCTGGTTGTTCATTCTATCAATTAACGAGATACAATATACCTTAGCTGCTGGGGTTTCTTCGAAGGACTGCCCATACCAACCTTTACGCTGCCATGAGTCCTCCACAATCCTTGCTATTCATTAGGGCCACCGGTTATGTGTATATTAACTACAAAATCCCATAATCTTGATCTTAAAATAGGGGATGATTAACATAGAGCTAGGGGAGGCACCATACTCAACAACCTCGCAGACCCTTCGCAAGCCGCAGTTTATAATTTATCCATCACAACAGTTATTCAAAAGAAAAGTCAAGCCCAGCTGCTGAAAGAGAAGGGAATTAAAGCTGTCGTTCTTCCAGGAGGACTTGACGATATTACGGCCCTTATTGAGCTGGCACGTCAGCATAACATTGTTCTTAACGATGCCACGGGGTTTCATGGGCCCTCTGCCCGAGCCTTTATAATATCTAGAAATATACAAAAGCCCGTAAACTCTTAGAAAGTCTAGAAAGGATTTCTTATAAACCCGAATAGAGCTGTGATTACTTGTATCTAATACGTAACAGCAAGGCTGGTTAATATATCCATCACGGCAGCATTCCAGAATCAATCACGTATATTTATCATCGTATTTAGTGTTGTCGGCACCCGAACCTCGGCTTCTTTAACAATCCCTGTGGAGACTTTCCAGAGTCTGTCCCAGAGATCCTTCTCAGCCTCGGACGTCCTACCATCTTCACCGCTGTCCCAATTATCGAACTTGAGACCAACAACATCACAAGTTGAGATCTGACCCACCAAGAGAAGTGCTCGCCTTGATGTCGATTCCGATTTTGCTATCGATGAAAGACTCAGGCCAACGGCGATCATGGGTCCACTCCACGACATCGGCCAGGGTCTTACTTGTGCCGTCCGGATGATGTATGCTGAAGCATAACTTGCGAGAGATACTGTAAGAAGTCAGTCTTCTCCATTAGCTCATCCTAATCCACACTGACATGCTATCTCACAGACCGACGCTGGGCTTTTCCAGCCGAGGCAGAGCTCAGTTGCCAGACCTATGCAAACTTACATCTTACGGTGTGACGAGCTCTGTATATCGCCAGGGTAAGAACATACTACTGGGGTGGAGATTGCGATCTTTATGAGCAAGGTTATGGAGAATAAGGCCTGATAAAAAGGGTAGGTTTCCGGAACGTATATGCTCACTTGTTTCCTAACGCTGAAATTGTAAGGGTATTGTTGTTTTATTGTTACTCTAGAGGAATCGGAATGCTCTCTAAGAAATCGCCAATCCGCGTCCGAAAACCCGTATCTGCCCACTTCTCAATTGCCCTCAGAGCCTAGCCCTAACCCCGCAGCGCTTCACGATGGGGCGGGATGGGCGAGGCAATCTCTCTTGGGCTCCTGACGGTCGGTCGGTTGTTTCCCCTTCCCGTCCAACCACAGTCCCATACATCTCTACCCCGTGTCTACCCCTCCAGAAAACAGACTTACGGCTATTGAGGGTAGGGGACAAAAATGGCAAGTAGGGTTGGTGATATAAAGCTTATGTAAATGCAGCGTCATACGCAAAAGCTAGTTTCGGGTTTTTTTTGCCCTCGTCGTAAATAGCTATTTTTAGCCGCTGCCCGGCTCGGAATATTTTTAAAACCAAGCAGGGACCTTATGTAGCGCAACACGCTCCAAGCCGTTGAATTTATCCCCGCTCCTGCCTAAGAGCCTCAACTTTGTCCCAACGACATCTACTAACCCGGAACAACGCCAAAAAGAGGGACAAGCGATGTCTTATAACATAGATCTACTTAAGCATGTTAATATGAAACTGAACGTGCTACTTATTATAGACCGATAGCAATTTATACTCTTCGACACCTCATTAAGCTCTCTAATAAACCTATTTTAAAGCAGAGAGTATGCGACTTATTTAAAGTTTTGTGGCTTATACTTGTCCTCGAATGCATGTCAGGCTATATGAATGAATAGTCCTATATTTGTTTTAGTCAGGCGATGCGACAATAGTATCATAGCTGAATGTGTCTTGGGTTACGGGCGTGTATGGGTTGAGTGAAAGTCCCTACTCTAGGCCATCACCTGCCAGCAACATCCAGCTTATAGGGCAGTATGCCCACGATTGAGTAACCTGTATCTAGGCCTAAACCTCAAAACGCTGGCCAGCAGCTTAAGCTCGAAGTTCAAAGGTAATACAGTTGAACCTACAGTTTCTAAGACTATTATTACAGATCCTGTTTATTAAAGCTTAATCCGCAGCAGAACAACAATAACGAAGTTATAAGTCAACACCTGAGGTGATTTGGTCTAGGATTTTCGGAAATGTTCCAAGAGACGCAGGTGTCTCTGTCGTATTGCCATAGGGGAGCTAACCTTAGTATACGAGTAAAGGTCTATTGTGTGCAGGTTAGTGACTACAGTGTTTAGTTGAATGAGAGAAATGGCTCGAGGATGACGACTAGATGCATAGTGTGCTTAATAGTCTATATTGACGTATTAATAAATAAGTGGCTGCCCGTGCGCAGGATGTGTGAAAAGATGATAGAAAAGTTTTGCACAGAAATAATAGAATTTTTGTCGGAGTGTAAGCCGGCGCCGCGGAAATTGAAAAAGAAACAGATAACGATAAATAAATTGTTGGTCAGTCTGCCAGTGCATGAGTATCTATGCTATTGATCACTTTTCAGACTCGAGATTGATTTACTAGTCACGAGCATGCCGCTCCAGGGCAACCACTTGACAAACCGTTAAACAACGGGCTTAGTCACTCATCAGGTTAATTGGGAGACCAATTATGTATCTCCTGCTTATAGCTTTTGCTAAGAACCTAGGTACTATAGAAAGGATATTAGACAGTTCTACTAAACGCCCCCGTGGAGCTGGTGCTCCGGGTGAGGGCTAACATGGCAGGTGTCATATTAGAGCAAAAATGCCTAAAGTTAGAACTACGTCACAAGGCAGATAGATCATAACCTAATTATGTCATGTGTTGTGAGAGGGTCATCTCGGTAGTGAATTGCAGCTGGTAGGATAATATTTCATCCATATTCGGAACCCTTTTTTTATTCTTCCAAAGTCCATTATCGCGGGGGCCAAATTAAGAACTATCTCCACGCCTATTAACTTTCCAATTAATAACGATCCATGATGAGCTGCGTCTTGAGTGAGTCCTTGCAGAGAAACCAACCCTTGTCCTGCAGGTAGGAGATAAAACTGTCGTGCTTCGCCGAGGCTGTCATGCGGCTCTCAGTCTTGAAAGATGCCTCGACGAGGTAGTCGATTTCAGTGCTCGCGCGTCGGCCAATAGGCCAAACCTCAATGTAGAGCCGCATCCCGTCCCACTTGCCAACGGAGCGCTTGGCGCGGACCGGCCCAAATATACGCGACTCTTCCAACATGCGAGTGCCCCAGTGGTTGCCCTGCCAGCCATCGAACTTATCAGGTGCTTCGTCAATTAACATTGCACGCGAGTTTGACTCCTCCGGTTGATCCATCTCGCTGTTCGTAGGGTCGGCCACCTTCTTCTTGCGGCTGATAGAGAGCGTTTGCTTCTGATAGCCCCATTCGACTTGCGCCTCGTACCTCACATCGCTGGCGTCGAAACCATCGTTATTAGCCGTGGTGAGCGCGGCGTCGATGTCGCCGCCCACGATGGTATACCGCTTCTTATACGTCAGCTCCAAACCATCGTCGTTCTCAGTCTTGCGGATGCGTGGGCTCCAGCCGGCGGTATAGGTGTCCTTGCTCTCCGTGTCGAGAAACTGAATACTCTGCTTAGTGATGCTTGGAGGCATATCGAAGGTCGATAGGACGGTGCTCTTAAGTTCCTTTTCGGGGCCGAGAACTGCGGTGGGCTTGAGCAGAAGCTTGACCTCGTACTCGGGCGTCATATTTGGCGCTGCTTGCGTTGAGGGTTCGGCATTGGCAGTCATGGCAAACTGGGGGCGCGGGGAGGGCTGTATGGTATCTGCGTTGACGGGCAAGATTTGGATTAAGCGATAAGGGTGCTGAGCAGCGGTAGATTGCAAGAGCAGACCAAGTACGTGCGGTGGTGGTGGTTATTGAACAAAATGCTAGGAAGCCTTTTACTGAATACGAATAGGGGCAAACGCCGGTCTGTCATTATTACGATTCTTACTTTTCGAGCGTGGGGACAAGACAGTAAAAATGAAATCAGGATGACTTAGTACAAAGTTCATTGTTCTATATTTAGGTTATATAAGGATGTAGAAAAGGTAACCATAGCATAATACGAACAATTCGAAGATGCGATAGCGGTAAGAGGTTCATGTTTGGAGCGTAAGTTCTTATTTTAGACTTGCGGATAGATTTAAAATGCACACTGTAGCTCGACTGTAGCGCAGCAATCTGGCAGAGCCATAGAAATTAAGTTCTAGGTGACCGTGCTCATCGTCATGCTGCTGCTCTCAAAACATTTTATTCACTTGATTTGGAGACACTTAAAGTTTTGGCCATTATCCCCTCAAACTCATGAAGGAAGGGGAATATCGGCAGTTGAGCGAGGGTCTGGTCGTAGAATCTTATTGCTGTTAGTGGTGAATTTAAGTGGATTTACGGATTGAAGGGAGTAGAGTGATAGGATTAGGAGGGATGGAGAGAAGTCGATGTGAAAGCGAAATCGTATAGAAGGTTGTGTCGTTTCGCCTTATGACGGCATGTCCTAGGATCAGTGGCTGGCCCGAAGTTGTGGGCAAGCAGGGCGGCCGCAATACAGATGCAGGATCATCTACATCCTGAGGAGAAGGGATCACATGGTTTCGATGGAGCCATATGAGTAAGGGTATCATGCCAGGCCCAAGTAGAACTATGCAGCCAAAACAACCCCAGGTAAGCAAGTTGTGCAGGCACCGCCTTTGACGTGTAACTAGCTAAGAATATGAAAGCCGAAGAGCATTAAATGTTTATATAGACTTAAAATGAGAAGTACGTCGACCACCTAGCTACATTTGGACCTATCTTAATCAAGAGGGGATGTGAAGCGGTACAACCTGATGATATCGAAGTACAAGTTGAGGGCTGTGACTGACTTCCTCACTATGCTCGTATTTGCTAACAACGGTTGCGATTACGTCGGCCATTTTTGCGCCAGGACTGCATCTTTGATTCTAATGGCATTAGATAATGAAATAGCACAAACATAGCAGCAGTACCATTACTGCTCCTCGACCTCTTCTGCGACTAAATTAGAGCCCTCGATTACGAGCGAGAGGCACACTCTGTCTCTCCGCACAGACGTCGCTTGGGGGCGGTGCAACAATACACATTAACTCGTCAGGATAGATGGTGTAATCACTCTATTACAGCTGTGTTCCAATGCCGGATGTAACGTTGACGCTTCCCAAATGCCGAAACCCTGCAGCGGAAGATAAATAAGCTTGCTCTGGCTTACTTGTGATGATCCTTAAATGACTAAAGGTTTCGTCACTAATACGGATGACAGCCGTTGACAAACGGACGTTACCAGTAAGTCTGATACCTAATTGATCTTAAGGATACAACTGGTCCTCAAGTCTTATTTAGCCCTACTCCAAAAAGCACCGTATCATAATCTTTTTAGATAGCCTAACTCTGGCTCCTTATTTACGAGTAGAATCGCAACGAAATTAGAAGGTTGTTTTGATTAATAGCCAAGAGTGCGTATATATTCTGAAGCATCTCAACCGGTACCTGTTTCACATCTAAGCTTTATTCTTGAAGCTCCTCGGAAATGGGAATGTAGCAGCCTAGACAAGGCCAAAAGCCATCGGACTATCTAACAGCACCTTGGTACATAATATCAGCCAAGAGTTCGTATTAAGCCCGGCGGGTCATTAATAATGTTACGAGGAGGCGTACAGTTCGAGTCCAATAAATTGAAGTTTAAATAATGTTGCCATCCAACTAGTTGTCGAGGAGTAGCCCGACATGTAGCATCAGTCACAACCTTCGTGCAGGTGCTACTGTCGCCTCTGGCTACCTGGTATGATACTTGGGACATTCATCATGTGCTGGTCATTTTAGTTCCCCCCATGTCTTCACATGAAGGCCTCGAGGCTTAGCACACACAGATCATAATTGAGTACTCTCGTTTTACTTTCGGGATGATTTTGTGAGTCTGTAATTACGTAAAAAGTCTTACGTGACGCCGTGGAATTGTCGCTGGCGCCACTCCTAGCATTGTGGTGTCTTGGCAAGCAACAATGCAGAAGGGGGTTTCCCATGTCTTGCTCTGAAGTTCATCCAACCATCTTTACTTTAATCCAGTTAGACTCATTTAAATACCAGAAAACTATAAGAAGCGCGGTAACCCATATTCCTTTCCTCTACTCTTAACTTATCAACCGCAATAATCACAGTTAACAACCAACACAGATCAAAGCTTACTTAATTCCTATTCTTTCAGGTCTTTCCTAGCCCACCAACCATCAGTCAAAACCTCCATAATGGATACCCAACACATCAGCCTGCCAGGTCAGTGGGTCGTCATTGTCAAACCCTACCTGACGGCCGAGGTAATGCAGAGAGAGCATTTGTTGAAGTTGGATAACATGACGGAGGACAACAATATTCCCTTTAATGTGCAGGTCGGTCAGAAGTTCGACTTACCCGAGTTAAAAGGCTACTCTGCCAGGTTCGATGACGACACCAAAGCTGAGTTAGAGAGGATGCCCGAGGTATGTTAATAAGAGAACCGCAACCAGTTCTCTAGTAGATGATTTTAGTAGTGTTGATTGCTCATTCCTGCATACTCTAGGTCCTTAGCATCGAGCCAGAGCAGCTCTACAGCCGCTGTCAGCTTCAAACTGATGCACCATGGGGTTTGGGAAGGATTTCAGCACGCGCCACGCTTGGCGCCCCTCCTTACCAATACAGATATAGGGATGACGCAGCCGGCGCTGGCACAGTCGCGTACGTCATCGACACTGGCATTAACGATAGACATGTCGAATTTGAGGGCCGAGCTATCAAGGGACCCATATTCGTATCTGATGGTTCTGCAAGTCCCGAGGACATACTTGGCCACGGCACTCATGTCGCGGGCACAATTGCAAGCAGGGCATACGGTGTGGCCAAGAAAGCAAACGTCGTAGGCGTCAAAGTGTTCAGCGATAGAACGGGTTTTGCGCAGACTAGTGACATCATCAAGGCGCTTAATTGGGTCGTTGACAATGTCAATGTGCGTGGCATCAAAGGCCGCGCAGTGGTGAACATGAGTCTGGGAGGCGGGCCCAGTCCCGCTTTGGATGGCGCCGTTGCGTCCACTGTCCGTCATGGAGTGGTAGTCTGTGTTGCTGCCGGAAATCGGCGTGATGTAAGTTTGCTGAAGACGATAGGATGATCTGTTTGCTAACCGGAGACCAGCTGCAGGCTGAGGCCATGTCTCCTGCTCGCGAGCCGCTTGCCATCACTGTGGGTGCATCAGATAGGAATGATGCGTTTGCCAACTTCTCAAGCTTCGGAAAGAGTACGTGATTAACGAGCTCTCAAGGCTGAGCGTTGTATAAAAACTTCGTTGTTGCTAACAGAGCGACATAGTGGTCGACATTGTTGGTCCTGGCGTCGATATTCTCTCTTGCTGGATTGGTGGCCCCGACCCCCTAAGAGCAACAAAGGAAATCAGTGGGACGTCTATGGGCAAGTACTTCGTTGAAACCTGGAAAACAGTAACCATGAAGCTAACTAGCTTGCAATGCAGCGACTCCACATGTGGCTGGCGTTGCTTGCTGCCTTCTGAGTGATGCCACTTGGCAGGGCCGCGACTCTTCCGAGGTGATGTCAAAGATTCTCATTCTTGCCGATAAAGGCGACATCACTGGAATTGGTCCTGGAAGTGCCAAAGACAGGACAATCAACGCGATAGTACATAATACTACTAATTTTTTGGATGTTTAGGTTGAAATATTGGAGCACTTCTTTGAAGTTTTCTGTGTAAGTCGGGACAGATTGGAAGTACTGGGTGTTATTCTCTACACTATTCAACTACGATGGACAGCGATAATGGATAACTGTCGACGAGATTGGGATCCTGGAGAAACCAAGGGGTACACAATGCTTTACATCCAAAGATAGAGCAGCGGGTTATATAACCCAGACACTTACGCGATTAAAATGAACACTAGCCGGACGCTCAACGCCTTCACCACACCTTTTGCGCCGTGATCAGGATTTTTGTGCCACATTAAGCCACAACTCAAGCCACACATGTCCTCGACTCTTTGGCGAACGGATGACGAGCTGCAAGCATATCTCTTTTCAGATCGCCCCGAGGTTTATACGACGCAGTCTTAAGAGAGGGTGAGTACTTAGAGTGATATCCGACAGGTGGCATAATCTGTTTCGCGGGTTCTACCCGAAAATGTTTTTGGGCATAATTACAGAGGCAGCCGTTAAAAGTTTTATCCAGAGGCAAAACGTACTAGTAGCCACGGCCCCTATCGGTACCTCAAGATACAAAGACATTTTCCAATTTAGCAGGCTTACTACTATAATATAGTAGCCAATCCCAATTACAGTGATTAAGTACCTGCTAATATCGCATAACTTATAGGTACTTTAGGGGTCAGAAGATCTGTATTAATGTACCGAAGTACCCTGCTAGCTTCTGATTGGTTATAAGCCCGGCTTGCTTATGTCATCAGGATAAGACCTTCGACAGCTGCCTCTGTAGATGCCCCGCATTTTTGTGACCAACTTCAAGGTGGAGCCTCGAAGTTGGCGCGGACCTCACACTAACCAACGGTTAACCTGTTCCCACTTCTGCCCATTTTCCAGCATTTAAGGCCGGCTGAGCAGATCAGAATACCAGATTAAGCGCTAACAGTATGGGGTAGACCCCGGCGAGACAGTGAAACCGCAAGACGGCTGGGCATAATCGTACGTGTTACAAGGCGCAGAGCTTTGATTGGGCTGCAGCAGGTGTGCCTTTAGCGCCCAGTCACGGAGAAAGCGCTTCATGAGCCAATCAATATTTGCAGACAGCGCCTCCACCACCATATGCTTGTTGAGTGCCAAAGCTCCCAACGAGACAGAGAGACAATTAGCACGGAATACGAAAAAAAGAAATAACCATTTTCACTTCATTTCAATTCTTCCTTCCCCGCCATCTTAGCAGCCCTCAACCTAGCCCATCAAGAAGGAAACTACCTCACAGCACCTCAATAATGCTCTGTTCCAAGTGCAAGGGTTGCCTCCAGACGGAAGCTTGCTTGACCACTGCCCAGGCATCTCACTCTTTAGCACATCACCAGACGTACCAGAGTCTGGAGCAAGCTATTGACGCGGGATGTTATATCTGCAATCGTTTCTGGGAGGCCCTGAATGCCCAAGAGCATGTGCTTCTCTCTAGCACTGTGGGCGAAGGAGTAGAGCCATCAGGTGCATATTGCTCCATTGAATCAGTTCAACACTATCTCACAAGTACTTCTCTGGATGATGGGAAGTCTTATGGTCACCCTGGCTGCTACCTTCTACAGGTTGCATACAACAAGCCTGCCATCACAACCTGCTTCAGAGCGAGCTTTCTTCTTGAACCTGTCGAGTGTCAGTGGCTGCGCACCTCTTTTAGAATTGACTCCAAACCTAATGACACCGTAGGTGCAAATACAAACCTCGCACGCCAGAGCCTTGCCCAAAGCACACAATCCCCAGGGACATTATCTTTGGCCAAGGATTGGGTCAGAGAATGTACCGCGCATCATGAACGATGCAAAAGGCCCGTCGGCGAGAAGCCATGGTACCCGACACGCCTGCTCTTCTTCGACCTCCCTGAGGCATCAATAGTCCGCTTGCTGGAGACGAATCAAATAACTCCTGTTGGACAATACATGACACTCACTCATCGCTGGGGACCTGTTGACCATATAATATTAACAAAAGAAACATATCCACAGCTGCTCGAAGGCCTTCCCTTATCTACCTTACCCCAACTCTTCCGGGATGCCGTTTCTATCTGTCGCCATTTGGGCGTAGGATATATTTGGATTGATTCTCTCTGCATCTTCCAGGGCAACGATAACATTGGAGATTGGCAGCATGAGGCTTTGCTTATGAAGAATGTGTACTCAAATTCATTTTGCAACATCTCGGCGGCCGATACCCCCAATTGCTCTCAATCGATTTTCAACAGCAGAGATCCCCGTTTGCTTAACCCCCAAGTGGTAGAGCTGACCCTGTGTGGGGAGGGCAGCTCAAAGATTACAGAGCGTTTTGTCCTTTCAGATTATAGCTTCTGGAAATCGGAGGTCTCAAACGCCCTTGTGAACAAAAGAGGTTGGGTTCTTCAGGAGCGCTTCCTAGCCCCTCGCATCCTTCACTTTAGCAAGCGACAACTCATCTGGGAGTGCTGCGAGAAAGACGCTGCGGAAGTCTATCCTGATGGGCTGCCGCTTGCCCTCTCGACATCATCGGACGCGAGATTTAAACAGATGGATTCATCCGACTATACTGGTCGAGTGGACCGGTACAGGTATCGCGAGGCTGACGGTAATTCCGCTCCTCATTTGCTGTGGCTTCGCATTGTGGAACTGTATACAGCTTCTGCTCTCATAGTTCCCAGCGATAAGCTCATTGCGTGTTCCGGTATTGCCAAAAGGGTGGCCGAGATCGTGCAGGACGATTACGTTGCTGGTATGTGGCGTCGGTATCTAGAAGGCGAATTGCTGTGGATGGTACAGGGCAATCATCAGCCCGGACGTTGGACGCGACCTAGAGAATATCGTGCTCCCAGTTGGTCTTGGGCTTCAATTGATGGCCCGATCACTCCCGGCGAGCCACGAATTCAAGATTCGTTGATTACGGTTGAAGACTACCACCTTGATTACTGGACAAGCGATAAGACTGCTGCAATTCGTGGTGGTTGGCTACGCCTTCGTGGAGTCCTCAAGAAGACAACTTTAGCACGCAAAAGCTCTACGCCGGGCGGAGGCTACCATTGGGACATGATGTTAGATAATGAAAGGGTCAATGTCCTGGAGGATGCATCGCCGGGCAACACTGAGCCGCGAGTGATGCTTGATATTCTCCAGGAAGACTTTAAGGAAGAAACCACCAAAGGATTGTTGTTCTCTATGTGTGCTAGGTCGAAAACTGGGGATGGAAGAGGTATGTACATACTGCTGTTCAAGATGGTTGAAGGAGAGACGGGAATCTTTCGCCGTATCGGCCTTGCCTATGCCTGGAGTGAGAAGGTGAAGGAAAGGATCCTAGCGAGTAGCGCGAGAGAGCCGCAATTACCATGTCTTGAGTATCGAGATGGATTGCATTCTATATGCATCATCTAGAGCACGTTAAAGGTATGAGGCACGGAAATACTAAGATATCTCATGCCTGCAATGAAGTGACAACTTCCCCAAGCCATTTCCTTTTTGCATCAGAAGACCTTGGCTTATGCTTTGCTTTATTAGCATAATAATAATTCAGATTTGCAGAACGTAGGGGATTAGCCCAAACAGAAAATACAGCGAACAGGGCATTGAAGAAACTAATTGTGAACAGAACTGCAATGGTCGAACGCTAAAGATATCGATCTCGCCGTCGATAACTCTCGGGATGGTCTTCGTCTCTGGCAAGCCATGACCAATGTGAGCCCCCCTTGGTAGTTTTGGAGTTGCGAATTTGAGAAAAAGGTTAATGATCTGGGATGAAGGGCCAGCACCGAGATGCTTTGACCAAATATGGCCAACTCATCCGTGAGAATCAGGAGCAGCTTCACGGGCTGGAGGCTATTCTCTTCGGGAAAGATGCTGGTTTCTACAATTTAGAGATCGACGCGGCTGCTGACTTGTTCACTTGTGAGAATAGTTCCCATTCGCAAGGATTAACTCGATGCTAAGACTATGTCTTGTAGATAACGCCAACATGATTGATAAATTCCAGACCGAGCTCATAGCCGCGAAAGATGATAGTCTTCAAGTACGACACCCATTGCCCTTCCTTTCCATTTCTTTCTAGCTCACCAAACTTGCAGTATATAATACGCCAGCCCTGGGGCATTTGTGCTGGTATCTGTCCCTTCAACGGAGTTATCATAACCCTCGCGATGAAGGCGGCCCCAGGACTCGCCTGCGGAAACTCCATCATCATCAAAACAAGCAAGCTAAACCCCTTCTGAACCCTATTCATGGTATCTCTAGCAACCCAAGTCGGAATCCCACCCGGCACTCTCAACTGCCTTATTGGTGGCGCCGACGTCGACGAGGCGTTGTCATCACATATGGACATCAGCAAAATCAGCTTCACCGGTAGCATTAAGGTCGGCAAGTTGATCCAAGTAGCGGCGGCAAATTCCAACCTCAAGAGCGCTACTCTAGAGCTTGGAGGGAAGTCCCCGCTGATCGTTTTCCCTGACGCTGATCTGGAGAGGGCTCTCCAGCCTGCGACGATGTTCCTCCTGACGAGCGGCCAGGGATGTGCTTCACCCACTAGGCTGTACGTGCACGAGTCCATCGCGAACGAGCTCATTGCAAAACTCAAGGATATAGTTGAAGAGCATGGCCGGAACCTCGGTAGGGACCTGACTCTCCCGAGCACTTCGTCGTCGCCGCTGTATCATCAGCGCCAGAAAGAAGTTTTCTTGTCGTACATCCAGACTGGAATAAAGGAACAACCCTTCTCACTGGTGGCAAGCCCATCGGGGCCAAGGGCTGCTATGTCGAACCAACCATCTTCGTAGATCCGCACCCAGACGCCAAGGTCCTCAGGGAAGAAATCTTTGGGCCGGTTCTGGTCGTCGTTTGGTTCTCCACTGAGGACGAGGTCATCAGGCTAGCAAATGACAACGAATTTGGTCTAGCTCCCTACGTCTGGACCGCGGATTTAAGCCGAGCTCTACGATTATCGCAGAAGCTTGAGGCTGGGACTGTCAGCGTGAATGGGGCTGGTGGTTTGCTGCCGAATGTTCCTAGGGGAAGATGGATGCGTAGGTTCTTTCAGCTCTTCTATCTTGTAATATATGATAATTATGATGATATAGAGAGCGTCCAAGGGACTGAGAACGGCAAAGAGGCTATGCTTGATTGGACACAGTTAAAGTCAGTAGCCATCAAGGGGTAAGTGAGTATGAGATGGATTAGAAGTATGAGAATGGTCTTTTGTTTTCTGAGGATAGCACTTGTTTTAGTAGAAGAGGTAATCTTTATGTCGCAGGATCTAGTTGCCACCAGAACTATCTAGCTTATAACCTTAATCTTATAATATCTTAATTAAGGAATTAGTATAGTAATTAGGAAGTTTATCTTATATTATAAATAAAACTCTTCTATAAATTTATTTTTGATTAAAGCATACCTATAGTCTTTTATGTTTAACTATGTAATAAGTTATTTATCTTTCTTAGTATAACGTGGTTGATAAGCGAGCGCTCCAGACAAGCGAGCCCTCCACTACCCTATACACCTTAAAATCTAGATCTTAAAAGCTTATAAAAAGCTCAAACTAAGCCTTAAATAGCTATAAATTTAATAGCTTATATATAAGTCTTAAATTAAGTTATGGTATTTTTTTAGATTTTTAAAAAAATCCTATATAGCTATAAACTTTAATATCTATTTACACTATAAAATACACTGTATTTTAAGGTTTTCTCTATAATATAAAATAGCTAAAAATATTTAAAAAAATATAATTTAATAAAGCTAAATATACTATTTTATAAAATACTTTTATTAGATTTCTAGCTATTTTATTTAAGGTTTAAATCCCTTTAGGGTAAGCTATTTCTAGCTGTATAGTACAGTGGAGCGCTTGCTTATCTGGAGCGCTCGCTTATTAACCACGTTATAAGATTTATAATACTTATTATTTTATAATATAGCTACTATAGCTTATATATCTTTAATTTAAGCCCTTCTAGGCAGTGTGTTTAAGATCTTTGATTAGTTAGTTTATTGATCCTGCACGGTGGCATAAAGAAACAGCACCGTGGCTAGAAGCGTGGCCCTAAGCCACCTGTCAGACATTACGTGTATTCGGTTCATTGATGTGAATTGGTGTATTCATGTTGTGTTCTGTTGAAATCTACCCCTTAGAGGTTTTACCATTTCGG